TTCATTTGCTATAGCATACTCGTCTTACCATTTCTACAGTATAGTTAAGTATTCTATATGCCAAATGCAGTAGATAAGAGGAAATATCTACATTTGCCAAAAGGAGCATGCAGATTACAAGAGATATTGCAGCATTAAATATTGATTCCCACAATGCAATGCACTTGACTTGACATGAAATTAACCAGAGACAATTTATATAGAGACATGCCACTTCCTCAATCCTCAATACAACTATATAGGGAAAACCCGTAACGCCAAAGATGGCGGTTGTATGCACATGCCCCACCCCTCCCGCTGGAAAGCCAATCATCTGCTTTCAACAGTCAAGCCGGGAAACATGTAAGCCTATCGTCTGGTTCCACTGACGCATGCGCACAGTTGAGGTTTGCGACTGCAGAGACGAGAACCCTTGCGCATGCGTAGTAAACGTATAACCTGTGGGGAAAAATACCTTATTTTGGGGCAAAGTCATCAAACTTTTTCAGCGATTTTTATTATATTTTACTGCTGTTTCTATACAAGCAGTTTTTATGTCCCGGTGACCAGTGAAAGTGCAGTTCTGACTCTCTGCCCATTCATTTAGATAGGAGCCTGGTCTTGTTAGTCCGAAATGTATGCACAATGTAAATAACATCATCAGCATCTATAGTAGGTACACGTACAGCCAAACTGTTGTAACTGCGCACACTCTGTACTTACCCAGTACCCTGCTTAAGTCCCTCAAGTCATTTCACTCAGCGGCCATCTTTGAAACGCCTCAGGTATGCACGTAGATCTCTTTAATGGAGAAACATCAAGTTCTCAAAAGCTGTTCACCAAGCTTTCAATTTAATTTCATATTTGAAATCACCAATGAAATTAGACAATGACTGTATCATACATGTGGTTTCTTATGCGCATAAGAAACAATGTAGATCTCTTTAATGGAGAAACAACGTAGCTCATTGTTATCTTCAACGTAGATCTCTTTAATGAAGAAACATCAAGTTCTCAAAAGCTGTTCACCAAGCTTTCAATTTAATTTCATATTTGAAATCACCAATGAAATTAGACAACAACTGTATCATACATGTGGTTTCTTATGCTCATATAGTGTTAAAAAAAAGCTTATTGACTGTTGACTGCATGTAGTTTCTACGAGATCGACGAGACTTCACCAATCAGCCATTGGTTCTTAGAAGGCGGAACTTTTTCCGCCATTTTGCGCGTTGCACATTAAAACTAAAACAAGTCGAGCACAGTCTTCCGATATTAAATTGTTTGGCGTGAGCATGTGCATTAAATTATTATTAATATTTGCACTAATTAGTTTCTCCGGGTGGCAGCACTGGCTCAGGCCGTTTTTTCACAGTCAAAATAGAAAAAAATAACAAGAAACAATAAGCAGCTAACGTTGCGAAACAACAAGCCCAGGTTGACAAGCGCTTGTATGAGGGAAATTAAACGGGTGTTCTGACGGAACACCGACCGCACCTCTAATATAAACAAGTAACGTTAGCTACAAAGACATGATTTCGGTCATACTTTCTGGAGAAAAATTGGAGAAAAATAGGACAGACTTATGAAACTTTTTAGTGTTCATCATGTTTCAAGTTTGCGTCACAGGTTTAATCGCCGGGTGTGACCCGTGTCCAATGACACAACCGAGGCTAAATTTGCATTTAAGCAATATCCTAGGCCTACTACGAAACATATAACAGGTAAGGATATGGTTGAAATAGTAAAAGTCTGTAGAGTGATCGTGATCCGTTTTAAATCGCCGTGTGTGAACGGTAGATAAAGGAAATACAATAGGCCTACACGATTTCCCTTTGAGATCCACAGACAAATCCCCTTCTGCGAACATTAGATTAATGTAACGTTAATCATAGGCTATTTGAAAAGCGTCAATAATTTTCTCCTCCCATACCGACTGTTTTTGCGAGGTCCCCTCGTGTTGTTGGTGCTGAGGTCTCCCTTTGACATTCATGGACTCCAGGTCTCATCTGAATGATTGAATGCCGGCGTTTGCTGTGCTAAATTGCGTCGTTTCAATCCGGGAGAGAGTCAGAGTCCCTCCGGATTCCGGCTCCCGGTGGACCAGCCGTCGAGAAGAACAGCATGTTGTACATCCACATAAAACGGAAAAAATATGAGAGGTACTCTCCTCTTTATGACACAGAAATTAATCTGTCACTCGAGCTGGAAGTAAATCTCGGGCCTGCTTTGCAAAATACTGTTTTAACCCCCTTTACTCTGTATTTTATCTTTTATTGGCAATAAACATAAAACAGCACAAAGGGGTAATGTCCTCATCAATATTATCACAAAATGATAATAAATTTGAAGGCTTATAAACTTTAGAAGGAATTTTCGTCCTCGAGTGATCCGAATGTAGATCCTCTGAAAAAAGTTATCTGAATCTTTGAGGTAAATATTTTTATATTTAATATTATTGTTGCTAATTGTTAAAAAAGGAAAATGTTTTTTTCTCTCCATGCAACATAATTTACACTAATATCTTGTACTTCTATTTATTGAATATAATTTATATATTTTTCTAGTATACTTGAGTGTTATTAAACAATATTTCCAGTGTAAAAAAAAACAGTTTTGAAATTATTTTCATTCTCAGGCCTGGAACCACTTATTTAGCCTTTATTTGGTAAAAAAAAAAAAAAAAAATCTTTTAAACCTATGTATTTGTATGCATTATATGGCTAAAAAGGTCACAATACTAAAAGTTTATGCGGTTATATACTTAAACTCACATAATATTATTCACACAACAGTTACAATGGCACTAATTTGTAAAAAAAATAAAAATAAATAACTATACATTTTAATAGTAATTAAAATAAATACTATAGACTGAGGCCACTATACAAAAACAAAACGGTAAGACTTTACACATTTGTTCACATTAGTTAGTAAAAAAAATTGTACAACATTTATTATTCTTAGTTAATATTAATTTAAGCATATAACCTATTAATACATTTTAAAATCAAAAGTTGGATTAAGATTATTTAATGGACCTGAGCTGACATGAAATAACAATGAGCAGTTAATGAGCAGTAATGAATACATACTGTAACAAATGAATTGCTTATTATCAGGTTATTTTAGTTAATGCATTAACTAATGGGACCTCATTGTAAAGTGTTACCAACAAAACATATCAACACATTTTTAATAATCCATGGTCATACACAATGCTACATTTTAGTGAATTATTTTTTCCTTTATGCAATAGCTAAAATTGCATTCTTTGCGTAGGAAACATCATCCATGTGAAAACAACATCAAGCTGTCCAGCTCAAGACCTCCAAGTGGAGAGAGGTGAGAGATATCTAGGCCTTTTATTCATTTGAATTCCTATCTTCCTCCAAACGTTTCTCTCTCTCATTAGGTTTCTCTCTCTATAAAGGAACGAGGCCTGCTGGGGCCGTTAGAAATGCATTGTCAACTCTTCAGCGGATCTCACCCTCAGAGACCACAAACTAAACAGGGGAAGGATCTAGTGGAGGAACCTCTTTCTGGTATGCTAATCAAGTTAGCTGGAGGATAAATTAACATTTTTAATTAAAAAATTAGCACCAAACAAACACAGCAAAACACACTAATGATTAAAACATCTAAATAAAGCCTCCTCGCCAAAGAATGAACAGGAGAAGGCAGCGTGAAAACAGTTTTATTGCTCCCATAAAGCACGTCCAGAGAGGAAATTCACATCTAAATGACATTGAGTCGTTGGCCGATTATGTAGTGAAATGAATGGACTGGCTGAGGCGTGTCAATATGTTGTGGGTGATTATCATGGAAATGATTGGGTGTTAAAATACGACGCCGGATTCCCTCAAGTATCCAGTCAGGGAAAGTGTTTTGTAATTAAACCCTTTATGCGGTGATATGTAATTCATGTATGTAAAGCATATTTAAATTTGATCACAGGCAGAATCTCAAACAGTAGGAAAATACTCTCTCATTTCTAAGTTACTACTTTTTCATTTCTTTTTAAACTAAAGGGATAAAATATGTTAATTCCACTGGAGATCAAATATTAAGTATTTGTTATTGAATAAAAAAAAAATAATTAAAAAGGCAGTTGCAAACATCAAAGTAATCCCACAGCAAGCGGTAGATGTTTTCTGGCTGTCAGCCACACACACACACACACACACACACACACACAGACAGACACACGCACCCTGTGGCTCTATCGCTCTCTAGTGGAAATACATAATAAATGCAACCCACTACTTGCAGCTAATTTACAACAGGCCCAATAAGTATTTGGGTATGTAAGGCGGGGGGGGGGGGGGGGGGGGACTATTTGATCCCAAATACGCCCAAAATATGGTGATTACCTTGCTAAGGACCTCTTTCCTAAAATACTAAGGCATCAATATATACTATAAGATTAGATTATATTAAGATTATTTGTGGTGTTTGAAATAGTAAGTATAATATGAAGACAACGAATTCTCTAAATATTTACAGTACTAATGGCAAAAATAAATATTCAATTAATACATAATTTAAAATGTCATAATAAATAAAAATGTAAATAAAAATAATTAATAAATAGATTTATTTGTATGGTGTTTTCACAATAAATAGTGGTCAAAAGCATCTTTAAAAATATATATATTTTTACACTTTTTAATCTAAAATTTGCATCTGATCCCTACCCCTTGGAAACAACCAATAAATAAGTGTATATAAATAAATTACAATTTTTGAAAATTGTATATATATATATTTATTCTATTTTAAATTAAATATGCAAACATATTTCAAGCAATACAAAACAACATTTTAAATGATAAACCAATAGATATTAATTAATGTTCATGTTTAAATGTGGTGTAAGTGTCCAAATAATTCTTTGAGGGGTCGTTGTATCTTAATCTCATTTAAATAGAAATAAAAAAGTTTCAACATACGATTCTTACTTTAGAAGACCAAAAAATGAAGCAGAAATGAATGGATTTGTTTTATTTCTCAGTATAGAATTCTCAGTATAGAAAAAATGGGTAACATTACAAATGTCTGCTCAGAAAAGTACAAGTGTATTCCTTGTGCAAGAACCTAAATGCACCAATATCAGTTCACTTTATTGGCGATTCATTTTACTGTGGGTAAATGGCACCTTTAGATCTTGTATACTCTTAAAAGCAAAGGTTCTCGATTGGCATTGATGGTTCCTTTAAGAACCTTTTATTATCTCTGGAATTTTTTTCATCCCGTTCTTCATAGTGGAAAAAGGTTCTTTAGATTATTGAAATGTTCTTCACAATAAGAAAAATAATGGTTTTAAGAACAGTTCTGGGAAAAAGGTTCTTTGGGGAACCGAAAATGGTTCTTCTATGATATTTGGGCAAACCTTTTTGGAACCTTTATTTTTAAGAGTGTATTTCATGTTACAATCCTTAATGGAAAACACATGCTTATTTCCAGTCTAAGCGAGTGCATGTTTACTGGATGACTGTCTCTAAAGCTGCAGCAGGGTAGGGACTATATTCTGGAGATCTGTCTGGACCTGCGCAGAGCTCAAGTCCTTCGCGTAGCCCTTCTCAAACTCTGTCGGGATGGTCGACTTAATCGTCTCCAGCACACAGGCTCAGCAGGGCCCTCTGGTAGTCTCCCTTTGTGTGCTCCTGAGAACATTAAACACATACAAAGCAATGCATATTTAGAGGCTCCTCAATATCTAATTGCTTGTTTCAACCACAGATTAAAAAAAAAGTAATTGCGACTTTTTTCTCTCGCAATTGCGAGAATTTCTAGATATAAACTCGCAATTGCGAGAAAAAAAGTCAGAATTGTGGGATATAAACTTGTAATTGCAAGAAAAAAAGTCAGAATTGTGGGATATAAGCTTGTAATCGCAAGAAAAAACTCAGAATTGTGAGATATAAACTCGTAATTGCGAGAAAAAAAGTCAGAATTGCGACAAACTCGTAACGTGCGACTTATAAAGTCAGAATTTCAAAATATAAATTTGAAATTGTGAGAAAAAAAGTCAGAATTGTGTGATATAAACTCGCGATTGCGAGAAAAAAAAAACATTGTGAGATATAAACTTGGAATTACGAATAAAAAGTCAGAATTGTGAGATATAAACTCAGAATTACGAATAAAAAGTCAGAAATGTGAGATAAAAACGGAATTACGAATAAAAAGTCCGAATTGTGAGATAAAAACTCGGAATTACGAATAAAAAGTCAGAATTGTGAGATATAAACTCAGAATTACGAATAAAAAGTCAGAATTGTGAGATGAAAAACTCGGAATTACGAATAAAAAGTCAGAATTGTGAGATAAAAACTCGGAATTACGAATAAAAAGTCCGAATTGTGAGATAAAAACTCGGAATTACGAATAAAAAGTCAGAATTGTGAGATATAAACTCAGAATTACGAATAAAAAGTCAGAATTGTGAGATAAAAACTCGGAATTACGAATAAAAAGTCAGAATTGCGAGATATAAACTCGCAAGTGTGAGAATTTTTTTTAAATTGTGGGATATTAACTCGCAAAAAGTCAGAATTGTGGGATATAAAGAGAGTTTGTATCTCACAATTCAGGCTTTATTTTTTAGAATTGCGACTTTATTTCTCTGAATTGTGAGATATATAGTCGCAATTACATGCGCAAACAAGCTATCATAGTCTTCCACCTTGGTGTACAGTAGTTAAAAAAACAATATTACAGGAACGTACAGCAATGGTCTGGTACAGAGACTTCCCGTGGTGGGCCTTGAACTCTTGTCTGATCTTCTTGAGGTCCACCTCGCATCGGGACACAATGATCCGGGTCAGCACCTTTTCATTCGCTCCTTTGCTCTAAAAGACACAAATACGCAAGATTAAACGAGTAGCCTGATGCAATTCCACTGCAAGACATCTGAAACATCCGCAGACACATTACAGATGAACTTTTTAATACTTTCTTCCAAGCCCAGGGAAGAATAAAAAGTGTTGGTAGATGAAACGTGTTTTACCTTCATGGCGTCTTGCAGTTTGTTGGCGAAATACAGCTGTTTGTTTTCAAAGCACTGAACTGAGGAAGAGAAGATGTGGAGATTAGATTCAGCTGCTGGGTTAATAGTAGCTTTCTGACTCATAAAAACTATGCGGATTTGACTTGAACTTAAAGCCTTTTCTAAAGACTTTTGTACTTTTAGTTAAAGTCTGCAAATTTTAAGTGCATCTACACTGCTGTTCAAAAGTCTGGGGCCAGTAAGATTGAACTTTTTAAAGGAAATTAATACTTTTATTCAGCAAGGACACATTAAAGTGATCAAAAGAGAGAGTAAAAATACATTTATAAAGCTACAAAAGATTTCTGTTTAAAATAAAAGCTGTTCTTCATCAAAACAAATCCTTTAAAAACAAATCAGGGTTTCCTTTAAAATATCAAGCAGCACAACTGTTTTTATTATTGATAATAATAAGAAATGCTTCTTGAGCATCAAACCAGCATATTAGAATGATTTCTGAAGGATCATGTGACACTGAAGACTGGAGCAATGATGCTGAAAATTCAGCTTTGCATCACAGGAATAAATTACATTTGAAAATATATTAAAACAGAAAATACTTATTTTAAATTGTAATAATATTTCACAATATTTCTGTATTTTTGATAAAACATGCAGCCTTAGTGACTTCTTTCAAACACATTAAAAATGTACCGACCCCAAACTTTTGAATGCTAATGTAAATGCTAAAGTACAGTTAAAGGTCGACAAATTTAACATATAGATTAGACACATTTAAATTCACTTTGTCATCCTGCAAAATGGAGAAAAAAATATTGATAATTAAGAATGAAAATGTCTATCCTCCAAAACTATAAATACCACCTCCATTTGACTAGCATTAGCAAGTAGCTAATCGTGCTTTTGCTGTGTTTCTTTGTTTCCACCAATGCTCATATTTTAATTCCTTCTCTAACCTTAATTTATTGAAGCAAGTGTTTTCATTGCTTTTTGGTCTATGGTTTGGCTAAAGGCTAGATATACAAAAACAGATGACCACTTTGCTCTATTCCGCCCTAACTTCCTGTTTCAACAGGATATACATCAGCGCTGAGAGGAAAACTGAGCTTCATGGGGTCTTCAAAGCAAAGTCTCACCCAAGGTAAGGAAGGACTTCTCCAGATCTCCTTTCACCTCTTTGCGAATGCTCTCCTGCATGTCATAAGGGCTGTAGCTCTTGTATCTGTCAAACACTGTAAAAGGAACCAAAAATTCACATTCATTATATGGGTGCTACTATATTATGAGATGCGAAAAGGTGTTTAAAAGGCTCTCAAACCTTTCTGGAGGTGAGGAACGCTTCTCTCAGACATGATGGAGATCCAGCACTTCACATCAGTGCCTTTCCGTTTGACTCCAGCCTCATACAGGGCCTGCACAGATTATAAATATAGTGATATTAAAAATAAAGCTAAATATATAATTAAATAAATATATCATTTCTGTAAATCAACAATTTATATATAACATATTATAAATAAATGTATATATTATAAATTAATATATTGTAAATAAATGTATTACTTTATTAAAAAAAGTTAATATTTACTTAACATAAATGCAAATAAACAGTATATAAAATATATTTATATAATTTATAATTTATATATTTTTTTTTTTTAAGTGTAATATTTACTTACAATAAATGTTAAATAAATAGTATATAAATATTTCATTTCTATAAATGTATAATTATATAGATGTATTTAAAAGTTAAATATTTAACTTAATTAAATAGTATATAAATAAATATGTATACACAGTTCAATATTTAACTGAAGTTTAATATTTAGGATTAGAGGTTTTGATTAAATACTGTTGCTCTAATGAATGCTTGATTTCCGAATATTAAATCGACATATTTAATCATTTTATGTTTCAATCAAATGCTGAGAGATAAAGCACAAGAACTTACTCTGGCATCGTCATCGATTTTCTGGTAGTCAACGACGGATCCGGGCTCATCTCTCTTGGTCTGATGTGGGATGGGGTCATGTGACATTACAAATATGTTAAACAAATCCTCAGAATCTTAATTCAGACTTTGAAATGGTTCCACGTACTATTTAAAGCACATGAGAAAAGTTTACCCCACCTGAACCAGAGCCAATAGAAGTTTAGCAAAGTCTCCTGAAGTATCTCCAGCCACATCCTTCTCCAGGTCCTTCTTGAACACTGCGATAAGGCACGCACGTTTATATCACAACCACATGCTCCTAATAACTGCACTTAAATACTCCCATACTCACAATCCTTGTAGACTTTCTTAATATCCATGAGCTCAGCATTGCTTCGAGAGCAGAGGATCTCAATCAGAGACTCCTCATCGGTTCCAAGACCCTGAAAACACACAGATATTGTGCTTTTGAGAACCACGACAATGTAGATTTCACTCCCATTTCTTCTAAGCAATAAAAAGAGTGCCATATTATGCCCTTTAAAAAGTCTTGATTTTGTCTAAGATTTTCATTCTTGAATGTTCAAAAAACATTATTTTCACATATTTACATTTTTGCAGCACCTCTTTTTGCAAGCAAACACAGACGCAAAGTTTCTTGGGAAACGCAAAACTTTTGCCAGCGAACGCAAAGTTTCTAAGGGGAACACAAAACTTTTGCGAGGGAACCCAAAGTTTCTTAGGGCACGCATACATTTTGCCAGGAAACGCAAAGTTTTCGGGGCAACGCAACATTTTTGCGAGGAAACGCAAAGTTTCTTAGAGGAATGTAAACATTTTGCAAGTGAAAATATAAAATATAAAAAAGCATAATAGGTCATCTTTAATGTTCACCTTGATGGAGCCTTTGATTTCAGAGGCATCGTACTGGGCTGTGCTCTTCATGAGGCCCAGGATGACTGTTTCCAGGGTGCCAGACAGCGCCCCCTTCAGGGCTGAGATCATATCCTGAAGAAGTGATGAATGAGCATTATTACAAAAAATGGAAAAGGATACATAAACATAGAAGTACATAGTATATATACTGACCTTCTTGGCTCTCCTCTCATATGCAAAGGCGATTTCTCGCCGTTGGTCATATGTCCGTTTGGTGAGAATATCAATTATGGTATGCTCATCAACCCCTAAAACAAATAATGTCATTTTATTTATTTTTTTTATTTATTCATATTCAAATATTATGTAAAAGTTAATTTTTTTGTATACTGATTTTAAATATAACTAAATATATTAATTTCCATATTATATTGATATAAATCCCAAAGCTTTTACATGGATTTTAATGTGATCAACTCAAAAGATTATTTAATTAATAAAAAAAATTGAAAAAAATTGCCCTTATGTATAGGTCAAAAAAGGTCAACGTAAAATGCCAAGGATTTTTTTATATCGTTTAAAAAACATTCATAAAATGTCACTTTACAAAACTCGTCTTTGAAAAATGCTAACAAATGCTAATTTGCAAAGGTTGTAAAATCATTACAATAAAAAAACAACTTAAAAATTAAATGTTTAGAATTTGGATATTTGGTAAAATCCTCATTTATGCATGTAGAACCTTAGTAGAGAGTTTAGGAATAGAGTACAAAGCCACTGAATGGGAGGAATGTGGTTGCTGCAATCAGGCGTTGGCCTGAAAATGTTCCACATGCGGTTCAATCCCTTCCAGACAGGATCATGACTCACTTCTACCACTGCTGCCCGTTGTGGCCGTTTTTTACTTCATTACGGGGAACAGCACACAAAGAGAAGGGGCGGGACAAAGCCCACAACCAAACATGATTGTCTATTGTTTGTTTAATGGCTCATCATCATCAAATTACAGGCTTGAAGACAGATGGCACAAATACATCTGGCCTCTCACATGACATCAGACGTGTTTAGGGCAGCGGTTCAGCTCTCTTACCTTTAGTTTTGATAGCGGTCTCAATTCTGACAGCATCCTTATCTGGATCAAAGTTAGGCGCCGGCACCACAGTAGGGTAGGTGGTCTCTCCCTAGGGTGGAACAATGTGATAATGCCATAAATACACACTTGATTATATATATATATTAGTTTTAATATAATGAATTTTTATAAACATTAATATAAAAATATTTGTTTAAAGTAGAAATCATCTCTATATAAAATGTTGTAACATAATATTTGTAATTGATTTATTTTATAATTGATTTAGATTTTCCTACTTGTATATACATTCTTATATAAAATAGAATACCTAGGCTATATAAAATTATTTTTACAAGTAGTTCTGATTTACTTATATTTATATTTTAATTATCTATCTATCTATCTATCTATCTATCTATCTATCTATCTATCTATCTATCTATCTATCTATCTATCTATCTATCTATCTATCTATCTATCTATCTATCTATCTATCTAATTTAATTAATGTATTTTTAATATGTAATGTTTATATATCAAAACCAATATTCAAAGATATTTTTTATAAATGTGTGTATGTGTATATATATATATATTCATTATTACATAATCATGTGGAAAATTATGGAAGCTTGTTAAATAAATTAACAAATATATATATATATTTAAATGCAGTCAGATATAGATATAAGATATACATCCAGAATCGCATTTTCTGACTTTATATCTCAAAATTCGGAGAAAAAAAGTCGCAATTACATTTTACATTTTTTATTCAGTGGTGGAAACAAGCTCCCATAAAATACACATGTCCACTATGGATAAAAGGCTTGTATAGAAACTTACACCACCCAGCTGGAGAGTGAGCTGCCCTAAGAACTCGGAAACCAAAGACATCCTGGACTTCCTGTGGAGAGCAGCCACACCTATTAATTTCCATGATATTTTGCTTTATATGCTGTAAATTGATTTACATTGGTTTTCTGCAACAATAAGTGCACAGAGAACAGTCTCGGTCTTGAGAGAAGACTCTGAGTGTACCGTCACATGCTTTAGAGAGTTATGTAATGCTGAACAGCAGAGGGCATGTTAGTTCATGGGGAGAACTGCACTTCATTGCCCCATCTTGTGTTTAGAAAAACGTAGTCACCGCATCCTGCCATAATGTTCCATGAGTCATAAAACAAAGCTTTTCTAACATTAAAAACGCATTATTTTGTTATATAGAAAAAAGACTGTGAGAAGGAACAGCAATAAAAGTCATTTCTGGTTTGATTTCTACTTTTTTAATAGTGACCTCTCATTAAATCTTTAACTTCCAATATAATAATTGATGCCAAGAACACCCAAATGCTTGACAAACATGCTATTCTTTTTTTTCCTTTTTTTTAATGCTACAAGTAAAACTTATTGCGCAGCAGTTGCTAGGTAATTAGACAAAACAGGACCCGTAAACATTCATTTTAAAAACCAGCGTTTGGTAAAACCTAAGCAAACAGACACACCCATGAGAGTGCATACTGGGAAAATTCTTTAAAGCAAGTGAGGCAGATCTATTTCTCAGTAATGTCTCACAATGTTAGGGTTAATGTTTTAACACAGTCTTTTTATTTTGAGAAATCTGTTTGTGCATGCCAAATTGCTAATGTTAGAAGAAAAAGACAGTTTAGGTTGAGAGATACTGTACCTCTAACCTGACACCTATAGTTTTTTATTTTAAAAATTAACTTAATGAATGCAGAAGTTGAAGAACTAAAGAAACCAGATTTGTACTTACTTTAGTGATCAACAGATTTCAGATGCCGTGCAGAACAATCCCAGCTATGGAGTGTGAGATGGGTGTGGTGGTTAAATACCAGAGGCGGTCCAGGAGTCTCGAGGTCTCGTCCTCAAATGAAGGTGGGCTCCACCCCTCTATAACACACCCCTCTCACAGTCTAAAGAGGTGGAACCTCTCCGAGTATGAAAGGAAGTAGGAAAGTGTGGCTTATGGTTTCTAATCTGAATGGAAATTAAGGATGTGCTAGTAAACCATTTGTTAAGTGGTGACTTTGAAGTCTTAAAGAGATTGATAGAAGTCTGAGAAAATTGGGATAGAATTTGGTAATTGAAATAAAATATAGATCACACTCTTCAGCTAACGGAAATAAGCTTAAGCTAATGTACTGAGAAATAAATGAGCTAAATAGAAATAGTAAAAATGATATCAGATAACAACATTACTAAAGTTATGTACTAAAAACCGAAAAGTTTTTCATTTAGTTTATATAGTGTGCTGTCACTAGCAATGAAGACCCACAAGTCACAAACCAATGCAAATAAATAACAAAGAGGGATGGATGTGTTGGAAATTAAATGTGTAAAGTCATTTTTCTAATGTTATACTGGTCGATACAACAGTCGTCTTGGATTTTTTAGTAACACACAAAAGCAGATTTTCAGTTAGAAATGCCATTGCAGAAAAATCCTATTTGCTGATGTACCACTCATGATTAATGTATTCAACAAACACAAGTGTGGTTACAGAGAATAAATGTGTAGTATTCAGATGGTCATGTGATCTCATGTGATCCCACCATGAGGTTGTGTAGCCTAGACAGAGTAACAGCTTTTCATTATAACTGAAGTCATCTCGTGTGTTTTTACATCACTTTAAACATTTATTTAAGACTATTCTTTACGAGTTTGAAAGTTTCTTACCTATTGTGACTTACTTTATATCCAAGTAAAAACAGCTACTTGAACAAGAAAAAAATGTAATGCGGGTTTTGTTTTTTGCTATTGGTGGATCTCATGTAATGAAGTTGCGATTAGTCGTGTATATCTGAGTGAAAAGGCTTCATAAACAAGAAAAAGATGTACTTGATTGGATGGTTGTGGGCCGTGGCTTGCTATTGTTGTGATCTCATCTGAGTGACAGGTTGATCCCGCCCTCCCGCCAGTAAACATGTCATAAAAGGAGAGATGTCGCTGCAAAAGTGAGGGAAAGTTATTCTGATTCGATTATGAGGGCACATGAATTAAAAAATATATATAATGATGTGCACGGATAAATCATTTATAATAAATGTGAAAATATTCCATAAAAAACAAGAATTGTCCATTTTGATTTCACTGTGACTTTAAAACAATAGCATGTAAGCATTAGCATCTAGCTAAATCCATTTCCTTAAATGTTATGATTACCTACTTTCAGGTTAATACGTCTTACAAACTGCCGTGGCAGCTTCTGTCACATTCCTTGGCACGATCTTTAACTGAATGTCAAAAGAGAAACGTGACGCATTCCTCCTCTTCAGTTGCACAAGGCGTTTTACTCAATATTAGCTGAAATGCACAGTTGCACACACACAAAGGCACACTTTGAAAATCCATTGGAGAAAGTGTATCCACCAGCCTAGACACCTTTGGTTTACCGTTTTAGCTTTGCCTTCTATAAGGATAGACTAATTCTAATCTTGCACTATATTTAGGATGGATAGTATGCACAGTATAGTACACACTAGGGTGGGTCTCTAACTTTCCAGACACACACCCACATCTTTCTCTCTGACTTGAGACAAGGCTGCCCAAAATTACTATTAGAAAATATCAGAATGTCGATGAAAAATGGTTAAGGGACACAATAATTATAGTAGATGTTATATTAAACAACATATTCTTTTATTTACTGCTGACAAAATAATACAAAATAGAAAAATTGGTAAATGTTAACCGTTTCAGTGTGGTCAAGGATTCTTTAAAAATATACAAAATGTAGTCATACGCAACATGCACAACATTGTTTTTTGTTGGTTGTACATAATATCAGGTGGTAGAAAGTGCTTTTGAAAAAACAAAAATCAAGTACAGAAATCAAGATGGTGTCTTTTGTTTTGGCTTTTCTTGGCTTTTCTGCAGGTCTTTCAGTAGCTTGGCTCTCATGTTGTTCTTCCATCCCTGTGCCTTATGAGTACCTTTTTTATTCTTCTTTTTAGGTGATTGATTCAGATTGCCTGTTTTAGTTGAGCTGGCTGGTTGTTTAGGTCCTGTCCGAACTTTAGCCTGTGTGAAAATGAGAAAAGTTACATTTGATAAATCATGACATAACACAATTTGGATGGTAGTACTGCAGTTTTAGACTAAAGGTTGTTGGTTCAAATCCCAATAGTGGATGTCCATGAACTGGAGAATCAGAGAGATCTCTTGCTTAAAAAAAAAAGAAAAGTAAATCCACCTCCAATGTCCCAGGATACCTTAGGACATGCATAAAGAGTGGGCATGTATCTACAGGACAGTGTAAAGCTCAGTAGTTTACACAATCGAGACACCTCCCAGGTTCTGGCGTTGGTTTTTGCTTCAATGAAATTTTAAGTGTCATGTTTCCTCAGGCAGTGGTTCAGTCGGGACCAATGCAATGATGTAAGAGTGTTACAGAGCCTAGAGTAGGACGGGTGTGATCTTTCCAACCTGTCCCGGCACATTTTACATGTCGCAAGAGCATTAGACCAGCGTATAAAGAAAACAACCACAATCATTCAAAAACAACCATTGAAATTTTACATTTAGAGATGCACCAATATTGAAATTCTCAGATACAGATAATTATTTTCATGGTCAGTAATCGATAAATGGCTGATATTAAAATTTGACACTATTTTGTATATATATATATATATATATTTTTTTTTTAAATAATGTAAAAAATGTTACATGCTACAAGTGAATTTAGGCAGTATAAAGTACAACATGAAAAATAGATATTCTTGACATTTGCTAAAGACAACATTTAACAGTGTTATTAAAATTAACTTTAAGAAAGCTTTAGATGATGACAAAGGTCTAAATGCAAAAATAAGGGAAATGAGCAAAGATTAGCAATACCACAAATTTTGCAGTTGGTTGCGATGTGCTATTATAATCCTCCACATCCGTTGTATAATACCTAAGGTTAGAGATATGAAGAAACGGTAATCCTATTAAGCATGAACAGTGTTTGCTATGGCAAGCATCGCTTTAGCGAAGACGACACTTTGAAATTAAGTGAAACAAAGTTAGGCACTACTAAAGTTAACTTACTGTATGGGTCTATGGGTGTGGTAACTCTGCAGTGTTGTTTTTGGGAATTCATAGAAAAAGTGTCCACTCTTTTTTCTGATTTTTCATGTTGACTGAGCGTTTGAATATATTTGAGTAAAATATGCATATCCCTGTAAAACAACTATTAACCAAGACTTTAAGTGCTCAAGAAGACATTGTTCGAATCAGCAACCTTCCAGTTACCAAATCTGAGCTACCTGGAAATACCGGATAAAAGGTAATATGTTGCAGGCTAAATTCGAACCCAAATTTCCCACATAAGCACTGTGGTTCAACTTGTCTGGAGCATATATGCGAACCAGGAACCTTCCATTTATCAACTCTATAATCACTACTACACCACACCACCTCTGGAAATTAGGGATGCAGAAAATTATCGGCCGAAAATGCCAAAAAATAAATCTAAATAAGTCAGTTGCATAGAACTGAATGAAGAAAAATATGTTGATATATTGATGTATAATATTATTTTAATATAGGGATATTTTCTGTCCAATTTTTGTATGTTACTTTAAATAAAAGTGTGGTTATTTTATTTTTTGGCTTGTTTTTTTATTTATTTATTTCGATTCAGTAAAATTATTGCATTTAGCCTAATTTAAGTCTAATAATAATACAATTAAATACTGGATAAACGGTATGTTGCAGGCTAAATTCGAACCCAAATTTCCCACATAAGCACTGTGGTTCAACATGTCAGGAGCACACATGGGCAAAGATGGTCATACCTGAGGGGGTGGACGTGGGGGGAAGATGCAGGGCGGTCTGTTGTGTTTCTGGTGAAATGGCAGGACATGCAAGGGGTCCAGGGGAACCCAGGGAACCCCTGGCGACACAGCAGGGAGTCCGCAGTGCGCAGTCTGCAGGTGGTACAAACTGCGAGCAGGGTTAGTCTCACTGCTGGCTTTGAAGACGGTCACAAAACCCTCACGCGGTTTGTGGACCAGCAGGTACCGTCCTTCCTGTAAACTGGGAAAGGTGGTAAAAGACATAAGCACAAACGCATAGAGATTGGCTGCTTAATTAAATACAACAAATACACACCATGTAAAACCTAAAGTTGATTTGTGTCATTTTTAATCTTAAAAAACTTTCACATATCCCAGCTTAATATGCAGAGATAACTATGTTTCAATATCTCCACCAGCCCAAAACAGAACCAGTGGCTCAACCAATGGTGTGCATTTTGGGCGGGACTATCGGTTTGCCTGATCAATGGCATGGGGAATGTTCTGCTGGCTTGTCAGCACAGAAATTACACAATTAAGCACTGATTTAAAAGACTGATTTCACATTAGAAATGCAATGCAAGTCTTGCAAATGGTATGGTAACAAATTTAAATGGATACAAGAAGTGAAAGAAACTCACGCTGAGACTTTTTTCAGTAAGTGGTAGAGTGTGTTTAAACATCTAGTTGGCCTGAAAAAGAAATATTGAATCACATTAGATTCCATTCAAACTTGTTTGAAGAGATATAGTCTAATATTAATGCAATATACAATTAATTATTCATATATTTAAATATAAATACTAATATAAATTAATAATTACAAATAATTATAAATTATAATAATATTATTACAATATTTCAGATAAAAATATGGGAGAATTTGTCAAACAGGCATGCACTATAAACAAAAATGGCTACAACTTTCTCAAATCAGGGTTTTATTTAAACATTCCAGAGATGTACTCACTTGAAGTCACAGGTGATGTTCTGAATCCAGTCGTCAGGTAACTTCTGCATCTGAACCACTTCTGATGTGTGTGCATTGATGCGACCTACACACACAAATAGATCGTTTTTTTTAATAGTCTAGATCAGTTCATTTTCCATAACGAGTTAGGCTACACTTCTATGTAACAGTCAATATCTAAAACAAGTTTGCTAAGCAGTGTTGTTATTGTAAACTAAAAGTACTACTACATTTTCATTAGTTAAAATAAAGATGAAATAAAATATTAATAACAGACAAAAAACTTCAAATGTTGAAACGAAATGTTGTCTGGGCAACTAACTTAAAACAAAATAGGTTTGAGGTGAACTACTAAAACTGAAATAAACTCAAGCTAAATAAATCTTTCAAACAAAAACTATAAATGACAAAATCACTTAAAATAACTAAAAACAAAAATAAAAGCTAATGCAAAAAACTAAATACTAGCCTATATAATGTAAATAAAACGATAATAAGACCGCTGCAGAGCCTTAAACCAGCTCGTAGTCCGTTTAAACTGAAGAACACCTAAATCGATGTCAACAGGTGATGCAGGGCAAAAGGACATGTATTGACTCGCAACAGCAGACTGTGAGAAACATTGTAGATGTCGCAATAATTGTTCACACGTTGTGACTGTCTATTGTATCTATGCCTCGTAATATTTCACAATGATGGTGTCGTTCAGAGTTCATGCCAGAAGAATGCGGTCTCCACACCCGTACTTGTTCATCAGTGTATGAGAGATGCTCTAGTACAGGGATAGGCAACTTCGGTCCTGGAGGGCCACTTTTCTGCAGAGTTTATCTCCAACCCTAATTAAACACGCAATCAAGGTTTTCAGGATTACTAGATAGATACAGGCGGGTGAGTTTTTATCAGGGCTGAAGCTAAACTCTGCAGGACAGTGGCCCTCCAGGACCGAAGTTGCCTATCCCTGCTCAAGAGCCACAATTGGAGCAGTTTATATCTATTAATGAATTATTAATAAATAAAAAATGCCAATAAATGATTTAAGGCCAATATATGGTGCATCTCTGGTGTTTGTATCACTCGGTTTGTTCCAACAATCGCTCCTTTGGCTTCTTTTGAGCAAAACTAAATAAATAAAAAATATCTGGTCATATTGCCCAAAATGTCAATTAATCTATATTCATACTACCACACCAAATCTGCATATTAGTATGATTTCTGAAGTATCATGTGACACTGAAGACTGAAGAGTAATGATCACAGGATTAAGAGTACATTCATCACATGAATAAACTTTTGAATGGTATGCATGTACATACGTACGATGACATCCATTGACTCACAAATGATTTGTTTCTATGGCAACACTAAAATATGATGATAACAGAGAAATACTTTCCCTTGTGGAAAAAAAGTAATTAAGCATATTAATTTAATTTGAAATGAAATTCAATTAAATGTCTGAAACATTGCATTCAGTTCGCACTTAAGTATATTCTTTTGAAGTATATTTCTGTAATAAGTACTTTTTCTCAAGCTATATTCACCTCCATATGCTCATGCAAATATTTAAGAACAGATAAAGTGCACCAAGTAACACTAGATATAATAAAATGGTGCTTAGAACAGAAATGTGTAGAAGTACAAACTGTTCCGAACTGCACCATTCTGTTATCAGTAGGGCTGGATCCTGGACTAGACCCAAAGAAAAGACCAGATTCCTTTAATAAGCCTAGAAGAATCTCTAAAGCAAACGGTATGTCAAGAGCGAGGCTTTTCTGCATTCTTCTGTGATTCAGAGATATTTACACCTACAGGCACAGACTGCTGTCGTGCATACTACAAGCATTCTTAGTGTCACTGTGTGTGAATGTTATAGGCAGAAAGAAACATCACAGATCTATCTACCTATAATATATAGAAATTTAGCTAAACGCTCCAAACCTCAGCAGTCAGAAAAGGAGTATCTTTTCCTCTTTTTCCCCTACTGATGTTGAAACCCAAGTAGCCCTACACCCACACTGACATGTCATACATACAGATGCATTCTTCAGCAGCCCTTTCAAAGCTGTAATGTTAGTAGCTATGGCAACCCTGAGTCAAAACAATGAGTCATCATGAGAGAGGCAAGCTGGGAGTTTGCGGGAAGTTCACTTTTGTGCTGACTCCCTGATTACCAAAACTAACACTTGAGAAAGAAAAAAACATACTTAAGTTTGCTTGATTAAAAAAAAATGTGATCAACTTTTCTGATGCTATTTTGCAGGTTGATAACTAATATTTGTCAGTCTTGTGATTTGCACTTAAATGTAGGGTTTTTTTCAATCAAAGAAACCATTTCAGCCATTGTAGCAAAGCAGCTTTAAAGGTGCATTGCGCAACTTTTCATGTTAAAAATACCTGTTTTTCTATCCTATACATGCTTAAAGAACTGCCTGATGGGCTGAATGAGCCCTTCTCTGCGCACTGAGATTGCCTCTATAATCCTGTACAGTAAAATATATAAGAGGGATTCGGGCTCGAATTTGAGACTGGGCGTGACGTCATGCGCGTTCACGCTCACCAGGCTATGTCTCGCAGGTTTGTGTATTTGCGGCGCCGCCATTCTTAGCATCAGCGAAGACAACTCGTGCGTCAAAAGTAGAAGATGGATTCAAAGAGACCGGCTTGTAGTCCATTCCAAACCCCAACGCAAACTCCACGTAAAGAAAAGAAAAATTGTGTCTAGTGCCACCAAAAGGGCCAAATTGGAGTCAGACAGGCGTCGGAGTAAGACGAGAGTCAACCTCGGGAAGGCATTCAACAAATGGAGAGATCTCCGGTCTGCTCTTGGTCTCAAACGGGATCCTCAGTTGGCTTTTTTCTTGATAAAACGGTAAGATATAGCCCAGTCTCTAATGTTCGATACGGCCAATCTATATGACAACAAATGACGATGCGTAAAATGTGTAATGCTTTAGCGTAAGCTAGATACATGTACAATCAGAATTGATTTTACTACCATTGTTAGTGAAAAGTTTCATAAACTAGGAATTGTGTTCGGAAGAATACTACAACATGAAACATAAAACAAATCCAATAAAAGATGCTAACTATGTTTTTGTGCATGGCCTACCGATAACGTTAGCCTTGTGTCCATTGCTAAAATGCTAAGGTGTCATTCATGTCATTGACCAACAAGGAAGAACGCCGTTGCATTGGCTATATTGTCTTTTTCGGTAAAAATAGTAAATTGTAAATCCTTTCACTGCTGTCACTGCTATCCTCAGTGCTTCTCTCCACAGTAACATCAAATTGGTCAGAGCTCGTATTCTATCAAAACGAGGAAACCGTAAAATATTTTGGTATTGTGATAAAATACATGTTTTATTCTGAACAATGCAGGAAGGGAAATACAATGGTAAAGGGGTAAATATTTTTACTTTACTCATACTGTTTAGCAGACTAATTTACTAAATAAAGTATTGACACATTTCACATTAATGTTTGTCGGTGTGTATTGTCCCTGTCAAAATATCTACTAAATAAATCAGCGCTACATGTAGTTTAGTGATTAGCAAAACAGTTCAAGATTCTTGAGTGTGATATAACATGCTGAAAAATATGACCAATAATTAGACACAAATTTTGAGTAAATTCTAACAGAAAAAGGATGTATTGTTATTGGAATATTTTACTTAGCAGATCAATACCCCGCGAGTCTTCGGCGGCTTAGCCTGTTTTGGCTTTTATGAAAACGTCATGGTGACATTTGATTGTTTATTACCTTGAGACCTTGACCAACCGTGTACGGTATGATTATTATTTTGAACTATTGCGAAGTAATCAATTATATTGTTCATGAACGTGTTTTCATAACAATACAATCATAGGTGGATACAGTAAACGCATAAACAAAGTTTTCTACTACCCCCGTTTTCCCCTCACACATAAGAGTAATTTACTCAAATGTCTTTCCTTCCATATATTTGAAATGACTTGCAGATTTATAACTTTATTACCTCTGAAGACATTTTGGCTGTACACCAAAGATCTGTGCGGCAGATGCTGCTTTAGTTATGAACAGCTCGTGCATGCGTGCGTGTGCGTGTGGTGTGGTCTATGAGCGTGCACAACTCTGGTTGCAGTTTCGCTTGTCGCCAGAGGGGGCGTAGTTCTGTAAAAACTCAGAAACCTACGTTTTGCACCTTTAAGAAGTAAAATACAGTAAAAAAAAAAAAAAAAAAAAATATATATATATATATATATATATAATATATATATATAAATAAAAATATAAATAAATGATAAAATAATTATTTAAAAAATAATTATAAAAAATTAAATCATAATATGAACCAATATGATAAAATAATAAGCAGCATTTTTTGCTTGCTTATGTTTTTACTACAACTTTTAAAGCAAATCAAATTGCTTTAATTTGATTTGATGCAACAACAAAAAAAAATTACTGAATCTGTTATGAATTGATTCATCAAAATGTCCACCTACATATATTTTTACTACAACATTTTAAAGCATGAAACATGCTTTAATTTGATTTGATAGCTAATGCAAACGAATCAGTTATGAATTGGTCAATTATTTTTTAACATTCATAGATATATTTTACTAATATTAGTAGTTTTTACTATATTACTATATATTTTAAAGCATGTTTTGTCTCTATAATGCATTTATAAAGTAATTGAATTTGAAGCAATTCAATTATAAAAAAATTCAACTGTGAATTAGTAATAAACTGATTTATTGAAACAGACTAAACAGACATTTTTTCTACTAAAGTTTAAGAGATTGCTTTTTTTAACGCTCTCATACTACATACTTTCTTCTCTATGTCTGGTGACATTTGGATCAAACAGATTCACAATAAAAAGTCATAACTTTTCATGAGCACTAAAGGGGAAAAAACAGATTCCATCAAGTCTCTTACTTATGAAAGGCACGGTACTGGAGTGCAGAAGTTTCTCGGCCCACAGCTGACAGGCCTCCGTGTGGGTCAGACTCTCGGCTCCGTAGCACAGCTGATACTCCAGCTTGGGTAAGACATGCACTGGGACGGCCTAAATAAAACCAGACTCAATTATTATCCTCTCAAACGGCATTTATGAGTCACTAGTATACTCTATAAACGGATCAGATATAAAAAGAGCTTCCTTTTCAGAACAAGCGGTTTTGACCTACGTTTGTGAACCATTTACTGGAAAGAGTCTGTTAATACACTGATAAGACTTAAAAATCGACTACAGCTACGGGCAGGAAAGCAGACTGTTTAAATAAAGGGAGTGGTGGACATTACTCAACCCTGGTCAAAATATAAAGAATAATACCTGGCATATTGACATACCATATAAATCCAATAATAATGGCAATAAAAGGCTGCTAAAAATCACTGTTGAAAATGATAACTAATAATATTAAGATGCATTGTGGGTGTTTACACAGGAACTCTTGGGGTGTTATCCTTCAACCTGGGCCAAATAAAGCAACATTTTCACAAAAGGTGTATTGTGTTTGTGTATTGGCATGGGTCCAGCTCACCCTGAAGGTCTCTCTGTCGTGTCTCGGGTGAGCGATGTCCACACTGCTGCGCACCATGAGCAGAACGTCCAGCAGACTGTAGAGTTTGTACAGAACGCTGCCCTCTGCTGGAGGATCATAGTCCATCTCATCCTCAGCACTGACCTGAAGATCCTCCCTCAGAAGACCTGCGACACAGACAGATAGATAACCACAAGGCAAGACATATAGTCAGACAGACAGATAGATAAACACAAGGCAGATAGACATATAGATGGTCAGACAGGCAGACATATAGATAGTCAGACAGACAGATAGATAACCACAAGGCAGATAGACATATAGATGGTCAGACAGGCAGACATATAGATAGTCAGACAGACAGATAGATAAACACAAGGCAGATAGACATATAGATGGTCAGACAGGCAGACAGATAGATAAACACAAGGCAGATAGATAGATAAACACAAGGCAGATAGACATATAGATGGTCAGACAGGCAGACATATAGATAGTCAGACAGACAGATAGATAAACACAAGGCAGATAGACATAGATAGTCAGACAGACAGATAGATAAACAAGGCAGATAGACATATAGATGGTCAGACAGGCAGACATATAGATAGTCAGACAGATAGATAGATAGATAGATAGATAGATAGATAGATAGATAGATAGATAGATAAACACAAGGCAGATTGATAGACAGCCAGATAGATAGATTGATAGATAGATAGATAGATAGATTGATAGATAGATAGATAGTCAGACAGATAGATAGATAAACACAAGGTAGATAGACATATAGATGGTCAGACAGGCAGACATATAGATAGTCAGACAGACAGATAGTTAAACACAAGGAAGATTGATAGACAGCCAGATAGATAGATAGATAGATAGTCAGACAGATAGATAGATAAACACAAGGCAGATAGACATATAGATGGTCAGACAGGCAGACATATAGATAGTCAGACAGACAGATAGATAAACACAAGGCAGATAGATAGATAAACACAAGGCAGATAGACATATAGATGGTCAGACAGGCAGACATATAGATAGTCAGACACACAGATAGATAAACACAAGGCAGATTGATAGACAGCCAGATAGATAGATAGATAGATAGTCAGACAGACAGATAGATAAACACAAGGCAGATAGACATAGATAGTCAGACAGACAGATAGATAAACAAGGCAGATAGACATATAGATGGTCAGACAGGCAGACATATAGATAGTCAGACAGATAGTCAGACAGATAGATAGATAGATAGATAGATAGATAGATAGATAGATAGATAGATAGATAGATAGATAGATAGATAAACACAAGGCAGATTGATGGACAGCCAGATAGATAGATTGATAGATAGATGAAGCAGACATATAGATAGTCAGACATACAATTAGAAAGACAGGCAGATATAGACGGATAGATAGATAGTCAGATGGATTGATAAACGCAGGCAGATAGACAGATAAATAGACAGATAGATGTTACATATTATTTTAGATGCATATTATAATTTCAAATATATTTAGTATAAAAATATACATTTTAAATTCTAATATATATAATATTTAATCAAGATATTTAAACCTGCAATAATAAAAACGGCACAAAAATAACTTAAAAAATATTTATTACAATATCAATTTGACTATACAAAGACTTAAAATGACTTGATTTTTGACTTTCGTTCTCTGTCAGTTACTAATTGTGTTAATTTAGATTTGTTAAAATTCAGAAAAAAGTATTATTTTTAAATATTTGAATAACCTCACAAAAACATGACTTGAGCACAACTTCTCCTCACTTTGACTGTGAGAGTGTTTTAGGCACTAACGTTTTCTTTGAGGGGCTGCCAGCACAGGAACGGCAGCAGGCAGTGCGCCGTCCTCTCCCTGGCCCTCTCTGGACTCCAGGTACGAGGTCACACACTGTTTGACCAGGGAGTGTGTTTTAGGTTCTGGAGGTTTATCCTCTGGGACAGCCGCTTTCACAGCCTCCTGGTTCTTGCTGGGGGTGGATTTCAGCATGGCGTCCTGCATCCGTAAAATCTGTCCGAGCTGATCGCACTCGCCGGATATTCTTGGCCTTTTGATGCCTTTCTTTGTTCCTTTGCCCAGAGGGTTAGTGGGGCTTGTTGTTGCTGGGCCGGGCGCTCGGGGGGAGGACACCTCGCCTGGTGTCACCCGGGTCTGTGAGGAGACTATGTGATCGATAACTAGTCGTTCTTCATCAGAATCCGAATCCTGGTCATCCTTGTCCTCCATTATCCGTCTAGGCCGCTTGGTGGGAGGACACTGAACAGAAGACGCTTTTGAATCTTCACTCGCACTTTCATGCATCGCACCGTTCCCTCCGTCAGCCAAAGACGAGTCGGTTTCTCCTTGTTCCTCGGCCACGGTCAACTCAAGGGGTTCTGTGGGAGTGTTTTGAGACGTTGAGGTGCGCTTTGACGTACCTAGAGAGTCTGTCTGTTTCTTGGGGCTTAGGATAAGTTGAGATGGATTTGCACAAGCTGTTTTTGGTTCATTCTGTTCCTTCACTTTCTTACTGGGCTTGTAGGATTCCCCAAATGACTCCAGGTCTGTTAGATCAGTTTCAAAATCCATACCAGCATCATCAAATGCAACCACATTCCTGGTGTTTTTGTCCTGGGCACAGTAAAGAGAAGTAAATATTATTCACAATATAACTTTATATTTTAAATATTTGTTTGTTTCACTCTTATTTGACATTTATTTATTTGCAAAACTGCACACTGTAAAGAGTGCTAACCTGCAATTGTTACCTTAAAGAGCTATTTCTACCTGAAATCAGTTTTGATGGTATAACTGTATGTATTTAAGTTGATTCAGTGATGTAGAATAATATTTTTGACTTGAATAAAATCAGTTAATGTGTAAAACAATAACACATTAATATGAAGTATGCTTTAAACGTCAGAATTTCTGAATTTTATTTATTTATTTTTGATGATAGTGTTGGCTAATACCAAGTTACCAGCTTTAATAATAAAAAATAAAATATTATATCTGTTAAGCACACATTTATATACATAAATACTTAGAAACATTTCTTATTATCAATGTTCGAAACCATTTTTGTTGCTTAATATTTATTGAAAACAACCATTCAAAAGTTTGGTATATATATATATTTATATATATATATATACCATATATAAAAATCAATAAACATTGTTTATAATATAACATAATATAATAGCTATTACTGTTGTTGTTATATTAATTACTAAATACATTTACCTATTGATACTATGGCATTTTGGCATAAACTATGTCTTGTGTAGGAATTTCATTTTAAATCCAAAACTAATTATAAGTGAAGAATAATAAATTATATATATATATATATATTTTTAATGAGCCAATAACAAAAATCAATTAATAATCTGCAATATTTATTATTAATTTATTCCACTGTTTGGTGTTGTGTTCCTCTACTTCACTGAATTGACCTTACCTCAGGAGGGGGGTTCATTTCTAAGGATATCTCTTCTGAAGTGAGGAAAAATACAGGTCGTGACACAGTCTTCTTGAATGTCATCTTGACGCTCTCCTCATGAAACAGCAGACTCCTCTCTCTCCAGCTCATCTCGGTCTTCAGCAGAGGAGGATCAATGTATGCCGTCTTACTCTGACTGCTGCCTGTTAACCACACCACATTCACTGTGACAGACTCTCTTAACTGTCTGGATTACAATCTTCTGGTCTCATGAAACAACCCCTCACCTTTATTAGGATTCATTTTGACCCAAACTGGCAGCTCCCATGCTTCCGTGAACTCTGAGCTGTTATTCAGGAGCTGAAGGAAGGCCTCTTTGGATAAACACACTTGTGGCTCGTAAGTGGCGCTGAGTTTTTCCGCGTTACTGTCATTGCTGATGGCCTGCAGAAATCAAGAGACATCAGGATTCAGACTCAAGAACTTCGATTTCTACAGGCACATTAAATGAGTTCATGAGGTGAAGGGACAGAGATTTTTTTAGGTGGCTCCTACTTCTCTTATTGGAGGTCCTGGACCCCTCAGTCATGGGCTCCAGTTCCTGGTTACCCGGCCTAGTTACTATGTTTATTCTATCAAATAGTTTAGAGGGACAATTCAGAACAAAGGCAGCAGTGCCACCTAGTGGTTAAGATCACATTTTGCAAGATAGAAACCTAAACGCATTCTAAGTTAGCAATTACATGGGTGAATCTAAAAAAAGGAACATATTTGGGCCCTTCTTCACCTGCACATCCATATAAGAAAAAAAAAAAGAAAAAAAAAAAAAAAATATATATATATATATATATATATATATATATATATATCACAATGAAAATAAAGCCTATTTTAGAATGATTTATATGTTTTGTAATATATTTTGTTTGTGAAAGGACATATTTGGGTTCTTTTTTTTTTATACCTGCAAATTCAAAAAGAAAATTAAGCCTATTTTATCCTTACTACTGTTTTTTTTTTGTGTGTATTATATTTGTGAGAGGACACATTTGGGTCCTTTTTGACCTGCAAAAAGTAAAAAAATATATTTTGCATAAGGAAAATTAAGCCAATTTTAGCATGATTAATATTTTATTGCACTATATTATTGTATTCGTAAAAAAGGACATGAGGATCCTTTTTCACCTGCAAATATTTCCACCTTGCATGAGGAAAATGAAGCCTATTTATTTTTTGTTGTTGTTAATATTATAATAATATTTTTATTATATTATAATGACATAATTTTCATGAAAATTCATCAAGTTGGTATACTTGGTATACTAATAGTAATAATAATATTCATAATTATTTAAATTGTATGTAATAAAGTTTATATACAATGGTAGTATTTGTACTGAATTTTTTAAACAGAATTGATTTTTTAATAAAAATTCAAAATAATTGTAGAAAATGTGTGTAATTGTACTTTTGTATTTTGTCATTAGTTTCATGACAATGACAAAATACAAATAATAACAAAAAAACCCCTAAACATTATGGGGTAAAATATGGCCATTTTATCTGAAATTCATCTATATAAAGACCAAAAAGTAACAGTAAAAACCACACAATCACAGACAGGCCACGTACAGTTTGTGCTGAAGTTGCTTTTTTAACTGGAGGAAACGCATTTGACACGGTCTCATAGTCTCCTGCCAGTTGGGTGTGTTCTGGGATCACTTTTTTGTCTAGCATGTCTATTGTACCCTGAGGAGAATAACAGTAGACATAGATGAAACACATAGCAGTATATCACATTCACACATTTAAGTTAATAATGCAAAAATAACTATAGTGTATAGGTACCATAGCAAGAAGCTGTTTCTCAAAGTTGAGAGACATTTCGCACACAAACTTTACACTGGTCAGGCTAGTAATCTCTTGAATGCTGTAATACTGTGGGTAACTCTTCACATGTTCCAAGCAGGCTGTAAAATATTCCTGTTGGGGGAAATATAAAAACAATCACCAATAAAATATTCAAAAATGATAATGCAATAAAATAATACAAAATTAAATTAAAATATACAAAAAAAAACATCAATAAAATATAAAATAATGATATGTAAGACAATTTTAAATAACCAAAATAACATTAAAATATACAAAAATCACCAATCAAATATTCAAAAATGATAATGATTAAATAAATAAAGATAATACAATTAGATAATACAAAATAAAATTAAAATATACAAAAAATCATCAATAAAATAATAAAAAATGATAATGAAATAAATTAAGATAATAAAATAATTAAAATATACAAAAACATCAATAAAATATTCTAAATGATAGTGAAATAGAAAAATGTTAATCCAATTTTTATTAAAATATAAATAAAAAAAATAAAATATTTAAAAAATTATAATGAAATAAAGAAAAATAATCAATACAATATTCTAAATGATAGTGAAATAGAAAAATGTTAATCAAATTTTTATTAAAATATTTTTAAAAAATCAAATATTAAAAAAATTATAATGAAATAAAGAAAAATAATCAAATTAAAATATACAAAAATAATCAATCAAATATTAAAAATGATAACGTAATAATTTGTTTTTACAAAAAATAATAAAACTAAAATGCACAAAAATCAATCAATCAAATATTCAAAAACAATAATGAAATAAAGAAAACTAATAAAACAAAATAATAGAAAATAAAATGTACAAAAATTATCAATCAAATTTTTATAAACAATAAATTTTAAATATTAAAAAAAATCATAAATTAAATATTCAACAACAACAAGATTAAGAAAAATAATAAAATTAAAACAACAGAACTTTTGAATATTAAATAAATCAATAATTGTAATTACCTCAGAGTAGCGGGTGCTGCCTGGTGACATATAGTTGTACCCATCAGCACATGCTCTAGAAACATCTTGTAGGTATTTCATAAACTCGGTCACTTCATTCTTCACACGCTCCATCAAAGGCTTAGAAATAAGACACAAAATGAATAACCACGTGAACTCTGCCTTGCATCATGTACAGTAATCACAACTGTCCCAGTATTACAGGCGATCAGCACTTGAGATGGTCTACCTTTGAAACTCTGATAGGCTTGCCGTTGAGAATGCTGATATATGATCGGCGCTGCTTTGAGTTGATGCTGGTAAAGCAAGGGTAGGGCACTAGAGGCTCAGGGAAAGTTGGAATCTCGGTAGTCTTCACAGGTTTGGGCTTAACACGATTTTCAGTTGGTTTGCATTCAGACGAGGCGTCATCTGATGCAAGCGTGTTAATGACATCTGAATCTTCATCACACTTCACAGTCTGTGCTTCTGCTGCATCAGAGCTTTCAAAGAAATATTCATATATATATGTGTGTGTGTGTGTATCACAGTATCCCTATATATTGTCAATTACAGTATACAGGAAACTTACCATGGTAATTTCATTGAAATGTTGTACATTAAAGTATTTTGGCTATTATTTTCCTATATCATAGCATTGGTTGTTTTTTAGGTGTAAACATGGTTGTTAATAAAGATCCGTTTTATATGTGGCTATTTGGTCTTAAATATCAATAACACGGTTTAAGTACAGTTACCGTGGTAAATGTGAGTAAGATACGACCACAGTCACTCACCTGTGTAAAAGAGCATATAGTTCTTTAATGTTGGGCGCGAGAGTGAACTTGTCAAACACATCTCTCGAGAACACGACAGGACCAGTGACAGCAGCATCTTCCCTGCGGACAAACACTCTCCAATCACACTATCTTCATTACAATTATCAATAAAACGTGTTTATTTAGATAACTATCTTGTCACCTACCATTTTAACTCCATGGCGCAGATTTTTAAAAAATGTATGTCGTTCACATCATCGTTAATTCATTGCACCGTCTGACTCTTGTCTGTCGCACGCTGACGTTCCTCCATAGACAGTAAAAGAAAGCGTTCCTCACATCATAACAGTGCGCCGATTGAATCTTCCGGGAAGAACCAAAACATGAAACAACGGTTCCGCTTCTGATCAAACGGCTGAATTTTTTATCGTAATTATAATGCGGTTAGTGGTACAATTCATTTGTGCTAATCCCAGGTTAGTAAAATACTAACAATGGTAAAAGTTTTGTCATACTGAAAAAATACCAATAGCTTAATTTGCAAAGTTTTGTATCAGATTGACTTGATTGTGAAAATCTGAATCCATCGATCAATTTCAAAAGTTAAAGTAACTTACACAGTTTAACTAGGTTAATACTAAAGTACAATTAAATGTGGATATATTTTATGTAGGTTATGTTTGTATTTACGTTATGTAGGCTAATAAAATGTGGATACAATTATATTTATGGTGAGACACTGACTAAAATTTTGACATTAACTTATTCGTATTTTCCTCTGTCCTGTTCGAAAATCCCACATTCATTTATTAAGATTTGCACACTACATTTTATCCTACCAGTGACTCTGGTATTTTAGAGAAATGGGTTTTATTTTAATGGGCTGACTTCTTTGGAAACCGCTCAAACTTGTATGACGACAAACTGTGGTCGGTTTTTCAGGGCCTTAAACGCCAGACATTGAGGGGGAGACTTGCACAGAAGAGATGTATGCACGTTTTAATATTTAGACCACTTCTATTATTGATTGCTATCAGGATTAAGATTTTCAACCACAACAAAAAGCTTATAAAACGAATTGCCCACCCTGCTTTTAAGTAAATCTGTTAAACTCTGCAAGATACATCCAAGCCATAGGCTAGCTATGCAGCCTATGTGTGTAGGCTATCTATTTAATGTTTTCTTTATTTTTTAACCTTTTTAACGTTTATATTGCCTCTTCTTTGAAAAAAACAAACAAACAAACACACAAATGTAAGTCTGATCAGGTTGTATATTGTCACATTTGTGTTGTTATTTCTTGACGTTGACTGCCTTTTGTAATATTCCATTCCCATAACAGCTTTTCAAAACAGCTTCCACTACATGAAATCCACTTTTTGTAGTTCTTTTTTTAAATGTTGTAAGATTCTTTTTCTTATTTTGCTTCTCCATTTCCATCTCTCTATCATTTCTTTAAAGGCTGTGTGGAACTTACTTCAACCTTATGAAATGCATAAAGAAGTATGACACATTGAATAAGAGCCCATTACAAGCAGTAAATTTTATTATGGGATAACAGCACATAAAGCACATCTAAAATCGATGTGTCAAATGCACTTTTAATAAAGGTAATATTAAAGGTACAGTTTCTAAGTACAATATAACAACATTCATATTAGAATGAAAAGTATTTAAAAGACAACATTAAATTTCTTATTTTTCTTTACAGCCGTATTTACAAAATGAATCAAAATACTTATTCTCATATTTAAGAATCAGACAAACAGAAGGGGCAAAACCACTATTGAGAAGAGACTATCTCCTAAAGAGAGTTCCAAAGAGCTGAATAAAAAGGTACATGATCAACTGTCCCCATTTTAAGATCAGTAGCAAACATGTGACGTAAAAATATGTGACAACCGCAAACTGTTCTCTGCTTTTTTCCCCCCACCGCAGGTTAGCAGGAGCAAAATCCACCCTGTCCCATCCTGCCCCAGCCCTTGTGCCTCCCCATCAGCTCAACAAGAAATAGAAGTATGCATCATTTTACATACACATATGAACACTTAAAATACATTGCATTAGTCATTTTGTTTCATAATCGTCAACTTAAAACCTAATTGGCAGGAAACAACAGGGAGAACACGAAGTGGATTGTCTATTGTCCGCCATTTTGTCTCTGCAAATGTCCAAACAGGGTTCGTGTTCAAATACATCCAACCAGGGTGCAACTGACTGGATGCAATGTCCCATAACCACGTGAAGTTGTTCGGAGGAAAAGAAAGAGTAGCGTCGGGACGTCACAGAGACAATAAAATGCTGTTTCCATGGCTCTAAACAAACATGAAATGCCTCATTTACATACAAAAAGACAGCCGATGAAAAGAAAAGTCGGTAACACAAGACAGAATTCACCTACGTGTGCAAACACAGTCAGTTGAGTACTTCGAGAACAGTGAAAACGATAACGGACGAATATAGTTTCTGCATCCTGTACCACTGAGAGGCACTCAGCGTAGTTTGCTATGTATTATTGCAAGTAGATTCTGCCTTGCTACAAAGAGAAAAACAGGAAGTTTCGCACAAAACTTCGTACGACCGCCTTTGTTCTGTACAATTTATAACACTTAACCATTGTGTGTGTATGTAAGTGTGACTTTGAAAGTGAGCGGATGTCGGATAGAATAATAAAAAAAACGAAGCGCGTAAAAAAAAGGTAGAATAACCAAACAAAAACAAAAAACGGAGGGAGCCAAAAAGCGGCAGACAATCCGATACTTTATCGCGTGTTTAAAGTCCTTCCAGAAAATAAGCACTGGTTTCGAACAATCAAAAATAAACACAATACTGCTGCTTTTTTCCAATTTTTTTTAAAGCATGAACAATCGTCTTTGTTGCAAAAATATTCAAAACTGCAATTTACTTAGCCGATACTTGCTAATAATCTTAAAAGTGGGAAGGAAACAAGCCGCGTCCCAAGACTAGCACACTGATACAGGTACTTGCTGGGTATTCGAAAGTAAATTTACCACTATCGTTATCTTTATTATCATTATTATTATTATTTATCGAGTCCTAATATCAATAATGCATCAATACTCAGTGAAATTAATGGACTAAGAGGGCGGCCTAGTCTATGAATCCATTATTTTTGTTCACAAAAGTAACTTACCTAGCACCACACGTCAGTATAACACAAAAATTAATGTCCGCACACCCTACCGCTAATCGAACTAAGTCTAAAAGAGAGAAGTATACTCAGAACAGAGATATTGTACAGCATGATGTGTCTGATAAAACAGATAAATATTTGCACTGAGCAGGTCTTAATAGCAGTATTTTCTTCTTACCTATACAGACAGAAGTTACAAAGTTACTTTTATACATGTGATCGATAGAACATTAAATATCGTGAATTAAAAGCCGAAAGGAGGACAGGGAAACGTAGCTGTACAGTTTACAGGCCATTTGACGTTCGTAGTTCTCCACCCGGGAACAGAACTAGTCAATATACAAATAAAACAAACCCCCAAAAAATATGCGAAAACCAAAAAAAAATTAAAAACGCGATAAATAAGAAAATGTATTTACATGCAGATGTTCAAAGCCTATGCACAAAATGAATCATAATACACCATATATATATTATTGCTTGACATTCGATTATGGCTAAAGACTTTTCAGTCTATTATCTAAACATAGTTCACTTTTAATAACGCGTCAGCTGTGCTTTTGGAAAGAAAACGCAAGGAAAACGTTTGACGTAAATCTTAGTAACACGCATGACACGTTCAATCCGTCGATCGGAATTGCGGGGGGAACCGGTAAATGTGCCTTTCGCCAAACGTGAGTGCATAGGCCTTGCGTTTGCATAACTCTAATCGAAATGTTAACGTCGAGGTGCAGTGTGTCATGCTTGTACAGCCTCGTCAAAGGGATTCAAGCTCAGTGCTGTGTAAAACATTTTAAATCCTGGGAAAAAGAAAACTAAAACTTAAGATCTTACATACAATTCACCATCTCACCCTGCTGCGTCTAATCTTTTAAAGCCTTGTCTGGGGGTTTACTTAAGCAAACATTACAAATAGCACAAACACACACATTTCCGCTTCTCGCATCCACATTCGGACGTATATTGCTTCTTACATAGATAAATAAAGGGAACCACTGTTAAAAAAAAAAAAAATTTAAACAGTAAAGACCAAGGGAAAATATTTGGATCTTCCACCGATAAAGAGACTCGTCTCTTTACATGTCTAGATCCGGAGGTGTTTAAGTACCTTTGCTTGTATTAGAAAAAAAAAAAAATTGTCCCAAAGTTCTATCTCAGCATATTGCTTTATAATGTCGAACTACACAGACAAAATACGACATGCAAAAAGTGGCAAAACGTGACTTTACTACAGCTTTTATGGTGTTGTACGAACTGGCTCGTGGATCATTGGACAGGCAAACAGCAAAGCTTGTTCATCAAGGGGACTCCACAGCAGTGGTTACCCTGTAGAAACCCGTATTTGTCACGCGCGACGATTCGCCCACGCGGACGTCTGAAGGTGGAGAATATCGTGAAGAGGTATTTGGCACATAGACTCGGACAATTATGAGTGACGATCAGAGCGAATCCCCAATCCAGAGAGAAAAAAAATCAAAACCTGGAAATTAGCGTAGCACGCTTGAGGTTGTTATCTTGCTTTGTTTGATTTGAGGGAATCGGATCTTGGAGCTCACTGGGTGATTTGATGAAGCCAGTGGCCTACGGGGCGAATGAATGAAATGACACGCATTGTTTATGATGTACCGCTGTCTTCTTCTGACTTGACAGCACAGATGTTAGTGAATAACAGGGAGCACGTATATTACGAAAGAAAAGGGTTTAAAAAATGAACTATGACAATGAGCGCTAACAGATGAGCATGCGTTCCCATTTATCATTACCAGGTTCGTTTGGGTTCAATTCTGTCCCTAGTGAGCCGTCTTGCTGTCTACATAGGTAGCATCCTCTAGACAACAACTCTTTATGTCACACAAATAGTGTGGCAATTGAGTTTTAGCATGTTAGCTCGTGGCTATCCTAAAGCTTAATACTTTAATACACATTAAAAATCATATCCCTATACATTTTGGTTAGATACTGTATGTCCTTTTTAAGATTGAACTATTATTGATCAGTTATTTTTGGTACTAAATGAAATATATTCATAATTTGCTTTTTTTTTTTAACTCATACATACACCATGCTGGAAAAGCGTTTGCTGTCTAGGCTCACTAGGTTTCAGAACTGATCTCATTATCTCCCTGTGTTCTCATTTGTCACAATATTAATCTCCCTGAGCCTTGTAGTATACAAACTGCTAAACATGAACCTGGATTGTCATTCACAGATTGATGATGTATTGTAGTAACCAGGAATTCTTGGGGATGCATTGCACAGACTAATATTTCGTCAATAGTAGAGAACTTAAATGTAATAAGCGCCATTATTTATCTGTATTGAACATGCCATCAAGATCAAATTATTGAGCTTTATATGCAACATAGAGCTGACTAACTTGTTTAAGCTACCGGCTTCAAAATTGAGTTAGACAGACTCTTCCCTGAGGAAAATACTTTGTATCATGGGGGGAAAAAAATGACATGAAGCTACCAAGATCCATTCAAATGTGCCAGTTAGTAGGTTGTAGAAGTGATCAATGACGGGGTTTTTTTCTGGATTATATTGGGATTTTCTAAACGCCACAACATAGTTTTACTGGAATGTTACAATACAACATTTTTTTTTCAGACTCAAAAAAAGCAGGAAAGACCACTATGGCACATTCAAGAGACGTACAAACACGCGCAACACACAACAGTTCGGTATTCCAAAAAATAGCACTATTACTACCATTGTCTTGTTCTTTGAAAAAGACCCCAAAAAAAAAAATCATAAAAAACACAAATTCTAATTATTGCAGGATTAAGTGCTATGTCATCCTTCGTTCTTTCCCTTTTTTTCTTATAGGCTTCATAAGCACTGTACAATGTTACAAAAATAGAGGATTTCAACCAGACAAGGCTTTGAATATTTCTCTTTTTTCCCCCCCACTCTTACGTTCCGACGAGCATTGTTGCTGGGCAAAGACTCTCACAAGAGCCGGTTTAAGGAAAATCAGCTGTTCATAAACCAGATCTGACTCCTCCACATGGTCATGTGACGCACCACCACTAGATGGAACCATTAAACGGCATCTGAAATGTGTGGGAAAATGGTCCGATTTCCTGATTTCATTTAATAGACTGTGTGCTTTGGTTTGGCCCGCAGTGGGACGCTACTTGAGGGTGAAATAAGATCTAGAGCTTGATCTGGTGTTTTACCATCATAGTTCCAGTTTAAAGGTGGCGGACAATGAGTGTTTGTGCATTGTAAAAAAAAAGAAAAAGAAAAAGTGCCTTACATTTTTTAAGTACAATCAACTTGGATGTTTAAGTCAATTCAACCTCATTTGCATTAAACTGACTTCAAAATGTGTTGAATCTTTTATAACTTATAAAAAAGAGTTGAAAATTGCTTAACTTATTTTGATGAGTTAAAGCAATGTAAAAACATATGTTTTTATAACTTATTGATCATATCATTTTTTACAGTGTGGAAACATTAAAAAAAATTGCCCTCCCGGATTATGTGATCCGCCTTTACCCAGCACCAACCTCCGCCTCGCGCAAATAAATACACAAACACACACGCAAACACGCACCCACCCTCAGCAGCGTTAGGGTTTCCAGCACTCGCTCTCCATAACCGTGGTATTTATACATGCAACACATCACTAGGTAAATATACAAGTCTTAAATTAAAGAAAGGTGCAAATAAAAGTGCCTTATCAATTTTTCACAATTAAGAATAGTCTAGCTACTAATATCATACATGTTATTTAAAATAGATTCTATAAACATTATTTTTTTTTTCTGTATAGTTTGTACTTATGACCAAATACCCTGTAACACGTTAGAAAACAGGTGGAATGGACCCTTGCATTGCATCGATGTTGGTGGTCGGACCGTTACGTTACGAACACCATTCCGGAGAGGGACTTAATAGCAGATGGCCTTAAATGATATCACTAAGCTAACTATGGTAGATGAAGTCTCTGACGGCTAAAAGCAATTGCGTCTATTACGACTAGAATTACCAGAATTCTACGTTGTTCCTTCTTTTTTTTTTTTCGATTGTCCGTAGAAAGGTGCTGTTTTGTGTCAACACTGCGCTACACTCCTTCTCCGTATCTCTCTTTCTCTCTCACTTTGTATTCTTCTTTCCGTGCTGGTTTGACATCCCCAAAAATAAAAATCCAAGCTCACAGGGAGGAAGGAACCAGCCACGTATGTTTCTACGTAGACTTTTTTTTTCTTTTTTTCGGTGCTACAATAACTGCTGGAACAGTTCAGATAATCGACTTTCTTGATCTCAACTTTTTTGTTTCATTCTCTTGGCTTGAAAAGGGCTTGAAAACGTGTTCCTCTTCCTGTAAAAAGTTTAAAATGGCGTATTCCAGGCAAACGCTCTCTGGGAATCTTTTTTTTTTTGTTCCTCCGTTTTGGAAACGAGTCAAAACAATTTATGCTGATCATGACAAATCGCCATGGGACCGTTCTGGGAAGGAACGCGTGGACTCTTCAGGTTCAGTCAGAGAGAGAAAGAGAGCGAGGGAGCGTTCGGAAAAAAACAAGTGTCTTCATCTTCTCATCCTCTCCCCTGGGGCTCCGAATCCCACCTGTGTCAGTAAAAGAAGGGAACAAACCCCCAAAAATAAACCACTGGCGTCAAACCCAGTCCATTACCAACCTCCTCCCCCACGAAGAAAAAAAAAATCACAAGGAAAAAAAGAAAATAAAAAAAGGGGAAAAGTGTGTGTGTGTGTGTGTGTGTGTGTGTGTGTGCAGTGTGTCGTCCGTCCAGGTGTGTGTATGTGCAGGGCACTGCTAAAGTGTCTCAGATTGATGCTTGACATTCCCCACGGTGTGACATCCCCCGGGCGGGGCGGGCGCGGGGAAGCGCTACCCGTCAACGGGCATGGACTGCTCAAAGTCTGATCCGAACAACTCCTTGTACAAGGGGGGGAAGTGGGCGCGGACAATGTCTGGGTATATTGCTTTGAACGCCGTCAGCTTTTCCGTATGCCGGCTGCACAGGGCTCGCAGCGTGGAGACTTTGCATATCAACTGCAGAAAGAGTGAGAGAGAGAGAGATTTTAATTTGGTGGAAAGGACCCTGTGGTACTGGGGCAAAAGGCAGACCCTCTAATCCGCAGACACAACACAGATGGTCCCAGGTTTTTCACATGACATCAACTAATCTTTCTTCCGCCAGACCAAATGCAGCTTATCAGATGAAGTCATCCGTGAAATCAGTAATTGACTGTTTATTTATTGGTAAAATTTTATAATAAGGTTTCATTCGTTAACATTAGTTAATGTATTAACTAACCATGAGCAATACATTTGTTACAGTATTTATTAATCTTTGTTAATAAAAATACAGCTGTTCATTGTTTGTTAATGTTAGTTCGCAGTGTGTTCGCTAATGTTAACAAATTTTGATTTTAGTAATGTATATTAGTCAATGTTGAAATGAACATGTTCATTATTAGTTCATGTTAACTAGTGTAGTTAACTAATGAAACCTTATTGTAAAGTGTTACTTTAATATTTGATATTATGATGTATTCTAAAGACTGGTTGGAAATTATTGCAGTGCTGTTATTGTTAACTAAAACTATTAAAAAATATATATTTTAATAATTGAAATAAAGCTGAAATAAAATATAAATATATGAAAGATTTTAATAAAAGAAAATAAATTAGAAATGTTGACTTGGCAACTAACTGAAACAAGTTTAAAATTGAAGTACCGTACTAAAATGAATAAAACTGAAATAAAAAGAAACGAAAGCTAAATACAAGTATTAAAAAAACGAATACAAATGACAAAAGCACAAGAAAATTACTAAAACTTAAATCAAAAAGAAAACTAAAAATATAAACTAATTTAAAACATTAATAAATTATATAATAGTATATAAAATAATGCTAAAATAACACTGATTTAATTATTCTCTATCATTTATTCTATTGGCAGCTCTAGTTTTTAGCAGAAAGGAAAAAAAATATTATTATTTTTTAGATACAAGTAACTTTCCTCTAATACTGGCTAGAAATATGATCCGTAGAAATTTAAACAAAGTAAATATTATATTGCATGATATTAATCCACAAATTCCAGATTTATTCAAATGACTTTGTATCTTTATATTGTTTTATACAAATAGCTATGTAGAGGAGTATGTAATATATACTGTAAATTGAGATTAATATCACATCACATCTAATGACATCATATCCTGTTCCTTATGTGTAGTACCTTTGTCAGTATGCCATCCTCTCTGTGGTTCTTTTGTAGAACATGTTGGAGGGCCAGCTGAATCTTTTGCTGGAGTTTCTCCACCTTCACCTTCTCCTGGAGCCAAGACCGGTCTAAACACCACACACACACACACACACACACACACGAGGACGTTACACTCTCGAGCTGTGACACAGCATCACATGTTCAGATGCATTTAGCCTTGGCGCTTAAATGGAAAATAGTTTGAATCCAACCAACACTGTCTCATTCCTCCTTTCTTCACAAATAATTGTGCAGTTAAACAAGGGCTTGTGGGTAATTTATGTGTAAACTTTAACATTACCTGCAGACATCAACACGAAGGCGGAGAACAGGGCGATCTCGTCTTCAGAGAGGTGCATAGAACACAAGTTTTTCCCAAACTCGAAGACAGAGCTGATCAAGTCGTCGCAGCCTGTCACGGCGGAGACAGAGAGAAAGGAAAAGTCGGTGAGACGGAGCAGTAGACAGCGTCGGGTAGACACTTGATCTTTTAGCATGAGATGTCGGGGTGGAACAGAGGTAAAAACAAACAAACAAACAAACAATACAATCCTTCAGCATGATTTTTTTTTCCCGCCACATTTTTTCCCCCCTTCCAGGCTAATCATGCTTTGGCGAATGAGAGAGGTTATGTAAGCATGACTGGGGTCACTAACAAGACTGAATAAAACCCATGACTCAGAGCTCACGCAAACACTGCGAGATAGTCTCAAACTTCCCCAAGCAAAGCACCACCTAGACACAACAATGCTCCCTCTCATTTTCTCATTCATTTTGAACTCGAGCATAGTTCCACATTTTTCAAATGTAGAAGGATCACGCTAAATCTGAACACAATAGTATTGCGTGAATATAAAAATGTTGCAGTCGAGATCAAATACATAAATAATACATATGTTTAATGTTATATTTAAATATTTTAAGAAATAATACATATATTTGGGTCTGTTTAGAAGCATTTCTAGAATTTGAGTCAGGTCACTCTTCATAGACTTTAAGATCAAATAAAATGATAGCTTGCCTTTTTATATCAATCGCAGCTTGAAAACTTGAAAAAAGTGTTTATTATAACATTTATTCATGTTTACATATTTCCATATTCTATGGAAGAATCAAAGCTAAAACACAAACACCAGAGTAGTAATATTTAGAAAGAATTGCACTGAATATACAAATTTTGCAGTTCAAATACATAAATAATAAGTATTTTTTATCATTATATGAAATATTTTATATGTTTAGAAATTATAATTATATGTTGATCTGTCTGGAAGCATTTCCAGCAAGTATTTTTTGGGTCTTTGAGAAATTGAATTGAAAGTTCAAAAATTATAATTTGCCTTATACGTATATTAATTGCAGTTTGAAAACTTGAAAAAAAAAAAAAAAATGTTTTAACATAACACATATTAAGTGATATTGTTAGTCTTAGACACATACAATTAATACTAATATTTAGTAATAATTTAAAAAGGATTGTGATGTATTTGAATAAATATGCACATTCTTGCATTCTTTTTCAAATGCATAAATAATAAATATACTTTAGATTAATCTCCTGTCTGTATAGAACGATATCTTGTCTTTTATATCAATCGCAGCTTGAAAACACTGTTCAACTCAACATTTATTAAGTAATAATGTCAGTTTTGGATGCACAAATCTATAAGACTTCTAGATGCTAGAAATTAAGCATAAAAAAAAAGCAAACAATTGAAATATCCAAAGTGTCAAATACCACCTGTTCAAATACTTCCATATTTTGTGGAAGACTCGCCCTAATGCTAAAACACACAAACACCACGTTAGTAATATTTAGAAAGGATTGCGATGTGTTTGCATGAATTAATATGCAAATCTTGCATTCGGTTTCAAATGCATAAATAATAAATACACTTTAGATTATTCTCCTGTCTGTTTAGAATATCTTGCCTTTTATATCGACCGCAGCTTGTTCAACACAACACCTATTAAGCAATAATGTGAGTTTTAGATGCACAAATCTATATTAGACTCATAAATAAATCAGATATTGAAAATTAAACATTGAAAAATGATAAATAATTGAAAATCAAATATCCAGAGTGTGTCGAGTACCACCTGGGGGCACTACGCCACAGTTTCAGTTTGCACAGCGATTTCAGAGATGCCGGTCGAAAGCTTGGCAAACACATGCGAGCTTATTAAAAGCGCCACACGTAAGACAGGAATAAGATATTATGCTTGTTATAAGGAGGACGTCCACATGAGATATGGTTACAGTATGTGATTGAATGTTATCTTTCAGACTGTGGCATCTTCTCATATTTGTGTTTGTTTTGACACCCGGACAGCTTTCAGCCCCGAAAGGTTTCCGATGCGCATGCATAATGACAGAGAAGGGATTTCACTAATGTCACGGCATTCAAACATAAATGCTATTTGCTTACACCAGAAAAACTCGACGCCCAGTTATACGCTACGGCTGTGTGGATGGCGGGTTTGATAAAACATTCCTGGTAGACACTCAATCTTGCTTATGCGGTTCCAGACGCCCACCGTATGCAGCAGCTTCAGCAACCCTGAGCAGAGTCCTCAGCGAGGAAACCGACTCCAGGTGTGGAGGATATGAGAAGCTACTGCCGACCTGGTGGGCTTTAGACGCTTGCGTACACACGGGGTCCAAAATCAACACTTTATTTCATTTAGTATCGGTAACACTCCAATAAAGGTCTCATTTGTTAAAGGGGTCATTTAATGGTACATGCACTTTTACAAGTTGATTGTACTGAAATGTGTGTTGGCAGTGTCTGTACACAACCATCATAAAATGATAAAAATCCATCCAGTGTTTTTGTTTTAATCTCCTTATTTAATCAAATTGAGCCGTTCGACCTTGTGACGTCACATGCTCGGAAGCCCCTCCCACGATTGTTGATTGACAGCATCGTTTCAACACAGACCCGCCCTCGCTCGTGAGAGCTGTCAATCATAGTCTGCGCGGACCGGCGCGGTCATTGTTGATATGCTGGAGCACTGTCTATGAGCAGAATGGCGTCTAAGCGATTGTGGTGTTCTGTTCTTGGGTGTATTAACGAACACAGTCATTTTAATGTTCCTGAATCCGAACCGCTGAAGACGCAGTGGCTGAGTTTGTTTTCGAAGGGAATATTCCCCACGAGCAACGTCAATGCTCTCATGTTTGCGCGAATCATTTCACACACCAGACTGCTTTATAAGGAGGGTCAGTATAAAGCTGGTTTTGCTAAGAAGCTGCTCATGAAAAAAGGATCGGTTCCAGATATTCGTGTTCCTGCTGAACCTCTAGAACAACTGAAGTGAGTGTAACGTTTTATTAAACTTTATATTAATATTTATATTAATCTTTGCAAATCGCTAGCTGCACGCTTCACAATGAATGCGTCTAAGGTTTAGACTTAGGGTACATTACGGCATGTTTTTCTATGTATGATGTTCTCAATATAATTCATAATCCCACGTTTATACTGAACAACGCGTTATGGTTATTGTGTTATTGTGTTACAAACGGTGTACGCACAGAACAGAGAGGCGGAGTCAGCAAAGCTCATTATCATTTAAAGTCATATGCACTGAAATGGCGTGCTGAAAACAGAGCTGTTTTTGACCAAGTAAAATAAGTGTTTTCTTATAATACTAATGAGAATTTGTAATTAAAGTATATTACAAACTTTTAATTTAGACCCTAAAAACTCATACTAGCTTGTACAAAAATGGCATTATATGACCCCTTTAACATTAGTTAATGCATTAACTAACAAAAACTAACTGTGTGTGTGTGTGTGTGTGTGTGCGTGAATGAGATTGCTTGTTGATGTAACAAGTAGAGTGACACATTACTTTATAAATGTAGAACTTAATATTTGAGTTACTTTTACCATTGGCAGACTTCGGACCCTGTGTGTATGGGAAAAAACCTTTACATTGCTTTCAGTAAGGCAAATTGGTTGAGTTTTGAATGCTTTTGCCATGTGTGAAAAAGGACCTTAGTTTTCAGTTCCAACACAATTTGGAACAAGCAAGCAACACACACACAAATATAATATTCCAAACACAGAATTTCCACTTCACATACCAAATCCAAGCAGGTTTTGTAACTCACCTAATGACTTAAAGACATCAGTCCCGGCATACTTTCCGTCAAAATAGACTGTGTTGTTCTGAGGGTCGAAGGCACGGCACATTCTGACGAACACCACCTCCAAAGAGCCTACACACAGGCGACAGAGAAACAAAATTGTGATTTTATATATAATCAAAAGCAGACACGCTAGAGAAGAATGTGAAGGCATATACTGCTAACTGCATTCTCAGCACTGCCACAAGGTGCGCTATAGCAAGCATTAGCGTAAACAGTCTTCTTCTACAGCAAGTTATTGCATTTCCAAAAAGCATCATCAGCCAACTATTTCTGTTGGAAACAACTAAACTTGCGACCATTGCTTTTAGGAAACACCCCAGGTTGATCACTGTCGGGTCAGGGCAACAAGTTGAAAAGAATCCTGCAGAGTAAGTTAGCTGATATTAGCTAAGCTGTCGACATGTTTAGTTTGCTACCTGAATAATAGCACACACGTGGTTCAATGGTACAGACATTTGATGCTAGGTTTGTTGTGTGAGGTTAATACTTGCATGGAGTATGTTTCTGGCCATAAACGCAAGCTTTATTAAGTCACCAATCGCAATCGGCTGTGTTTTTGAGCAGTGTGTGTGTGGCTCAGGTGGAGTGTGTTGCTGTTATTGTTGTGAGTGGGAGCAGTAATTCTACCGCGGAGGGCTTTGGTGAGCACAGGCTTAGAGGATAAAAGCCACGTAATAGAAGCCATTACGGAGCTTTAGAAAGATGGCGGTGGTTTAAAATGTCATGTCAGGAGCGAGCGCTCACTCAGTATTTTGTTTATAATTTTGGAGGGGCCTGGCACAAACAGAAACACTGAAAGCTGTTGGGATCATGGCGGGGATGGGGTGTGAGTGTGATGTAGCACTTTGGCCCATTATTTGTGAGGAGAAAGTGTGCAGTGGTGGATATCATCTCAATAGTGCGTTATTTTTTCAAAGAGCTGACAGATTGTCCCGATACAGTTTTCCTGTATACACAAGAGATGCTCATTTGAAGCACGGCACCTCCTGCTGTGTGACATCGGCTGTGTTCAGAATGCAATACTAGCATATTGCTTAATGTGCAGTGTACTATTTTTAAATAGTATGCAGTATGCAACAATAAATACTTTAAAGAGCAGTTTGCTACACATCGTTTGCTAAAATCGGCATGAAATGGAAGTTGCGATTAGTCTTTTCTTCCCTATTGGGATGCATATCTGAGTGAAACGGCTTCACGAACAAGAAAAAATGTAGGGCGGGACTTGATTGGATAGTTGTGCTTTGCTTTTGCTGTGATCTCATGTGATTGACAGGTTGATCCCGCCCTCCCGCCAGTAAACGCGTCATCAAAGAGAAGAGATGTTGTTGCGAGAAGTTATTTTGATTAAAGATTATGAGTGCACATGAATTTAAAAAAAAGATGATGTGCACAGATAAATCATTTATAATTAACACTGCAATATTCCATGAAAAATGGAATTTCAGTGTGTCTTTAATTTAATAAAGTGGGTCCAAGTTAGTAGCAAATAATAAAGATTAGTAGCATTTTTAACCTACATTTTGGCAAATACATTTTTTAATGCATACAAAAAAAAAACTGCATACTGTACAGTGTATACATACTGCTAGTAGTATGCTATTCAGATGCATGCAGCACAGGATTATTTGTGTTTACGCCCTGTAAACTAAGCCGGGATTGGATGATGGTGATGTGAACGCACACTTTACCTGCTTTGAGAAGCACTATCTGATCATTCTGACAGAGCTCCATGAAGCCGTCGATGCGTTTGGCAAACTCCACCACATACTGAATGGCCTCTGTGATTTTAATAGCACACAACTGCCACATGACTTCCCTGGGCTGAGGGGAAACCAAACACAAAACAAGCACTTTAAAGAGGCCATATTTAATTATGGCAGTTTAATTAAGTACACAAGTACACTCGTGATTTTTGCACCAAAAACATTATTCAGTTTTACATGACCATTTTATACTCACTGACCCTTAGAAATAAACCGGCTTTGATACAGTACCAAATATCTATTGATATGTAATTGTGGGCGGTTACCCATGGGTAGGTAACACTCACATTAGGGTTGAATTTATTAATATTAGTCAATGCATTTAGGTATCATGATATAACAATCAACAATACATTTACAGCATTTATTAATTTTGGTGAACATATACATTTATAACATTACAAGCTGTATAGATTAACATTTTTTAATGCATTTCTAAATTAACAATGAACAATATATTTATAAATTAACATTAATCCAGATTATAAATGTACAATGTGTACAAAGAAAGAGTGGTCTAAATTAGTCATTTAAAGGGACAGTTCACCCAAAAATTCTGTCATCATTTACTCACCCTCATATTGTTCCAAACCTTTATGAGTTTCATTGTTCTGCTGAACACAAAAGAAGATATTTTGAAGAATATGGATAACCAAACAGTTGACAGTAGCCATTAACTTCCGTAGTAGGAAAATGTTAATGGGGTCCGTCAACAGTCTGGTTACCAACATTCTTCAAAATATCTTCTTTTGTTACAGAAGAAAGAAACTCATACAGGTTTGGAACAACATGAGGGTGAGTAAACGATGACAGAATTTACATGGATCCTCATCCTATTAATGCAACCAGCAAGGACATTTTTGATTCCATTGCCATATCAGTGTCACTGCAAGTTACATTAAAAACATTGCTTGTCTAAGGCTTCTGAAAAGCTGTGTGTGTTTACCTTGTTCTGGTAGCCCTCCACCTCCTCCTGAAGGAACGCCTGCCAGGTCATTTGCTGAAGTTCTTCTCTCAGGTACTGACACGTCTCCATGTGGGACTTGGAAATGTTCTGGGCCAGATGTTCTGAAACACAACGCAACATACCGTCAAAGAAACCCTGTCGCGCTTGACTGCACTTAACGTACAGACCTTTTGAGCTGTACTATATATATATATGTGTGTGTGTGTGTGTGTGAGATGGCATTTGCTTCCCATTATCGTTATAAAAAAGTTCTTCCTACTAGTGGATTAGTTTATGCTTACAGAAATGCTGAGGGAAAAGATCTTTCAAAAGATGCAGCATTTTATTTGTCTCCAATCAAAGGGTTTGTGATTTAAAGTCGATTTCGAAGAGCGTTGACCGTCTGTGTTTCAGTACAAAAGGAAATTAGGACAGCACTTCAAGTATAAAAGTGAGTGTGTGTCAATTCATGGGAACAAAGGTCATATTTGCTTTCAGCGAGAACGAGAAAATGGAGACGAGAGAAAGAAAAAAAAACAGTATAAAAATTCAATCATGTTGAAAACACATCTGTTAAAAGGAGTCCCAGAGCAGGAGGGGAAGCTAAAAAAATGATTTCCCTTGGCGCGTGCCCTGCTGGATCCTGATTGGCCCTAATTAATGGAAACTAATTAGAAAAAAAAAAGAGATTCTTTTAATGAGTCTTCGAGATGAGTCTCCAACCTAATGCTATTTTAAGATACCTTTAGCGATGTTTGCCCCACGGTTGGGTTCTTCCCCCTAGTACCATCCCCTACCCAGAATCCACTCTGCCGTTCTTCAGAATGATCACTTACCCAACTCAGCCATGGAAACGGTGGGGGACGTCTCCCCGTTGGTGAAGGAACAGTAGGGGAAGAAGCCCGAGCCAGGGGTGAAGTCGCAGATGGGCTCCGGCTTGATCCCGTTGATGTCCAGGCCGGACTGATCGGGTGAGGGTTGGATGTCCAGGTAGAAGCTGCTGACGCCCGAGTCAGGCTTGGTGCCGTCGGGTGTGTGGCCGTTCATGTAGCCGCTCAGGTCATCATGAAGCTCGGTCAGGCCATTGGTGGAAAGGCCGTAGGTCGGTGTAAGGGGTTCGGCCTCACCGGGCTGCTGCTGGTGGTCCCGCTGTTGCTGCTGGAGCCGGTGTTTCTGCACCTCTGCATACAGGCTGTCCCGCTGTTTCTTCGACATCCGGCCGAACTTCACCGCTATAAGGGGCAAAGACATTGCATTATGAACAGAAATCTCTCTCGAATTGTGACTGCTTCCTTAAATATACAAGTATAAACAGGCCAGTGTGGCAACCCAACCCTGGCAACCCACCCATGTGCGTGTAACATGAAGGTCCACCCTGCTAAGAAATAACCGTCAGATCGTAGGAAAATGTATGAATGAGATCATATCAATTCATACAGATAAGCCACCAATTTGCCAAAATCTAAGGGTCTGTTTACACGACAACGTTTTCAACTAAAAACGTTAAACGTTTAATGCGTTTTGGCCGTTCGTTTACAAGACAACGGCATTTTGGGTGCCTGAAAATGCTAACTTTTGAAAACGCGTTTCAAAGTGCAAGTTTTTGAAAACGGTCTCCGTGTAAACAATAAAAACGCGAATCTCTGAAGACGATGACGTCATGCACATGTGTATTACGTGTTCAGTCTATAGTGATGCATCGCCATCTAATGGCCTGGCAGCAGAATACAGCGTTTTTAGTCTTAGTCATCGCTTTGACAATGGGGTCGTCTGTACGCAGAAAACTCGATGGAAAAACTTCTCAGTTTTAAGCATATCGTTGTCGTGAAAACGTACCCTAAAATGGTCACAAATTTCCATGCAAGTGTGTTGGGTGAGACTTCTTTGTCTATTGAATGTGTTTATTACAGGGGCAATCCACATTGCTGCCTCCTAGGGCCGAGTGCCTTGCTCAAGGGGATGATGGTGGTGCATGGCTCACTGTTTACATTGATCAAACCAGCAACCATTTGGTTACCAACCACCACACCAAAACTACCCTTGCAGAAGACTTCACCCCATAGCCATTGTTACTCCAGAAAAAACAATAGGCACAATCTCTTTTCCCTGAAGACTCTGGCCTTTGAAGGGAAGCTAGTGTAACGGCATGGAGAGTACAACTAACTCCCGGGAGCAGGGTTTAATGTCTCTCAGAGGGTATTAGTAGTGTATTGGGTCAAAAAAAAGGAACCTCTTTGGTAATAGCATTAGCTTTTTCCTGCTGTCTACCTGTCAAAATGATCCAAGAAAACCTGACTAGCATGAATCACCAATTTACAAGCACTCACAAAAAGGAAAGGCCTTCACTCGCAACACCTGGAGGAAGCGGCGGAGAGACTGTTCAGCTTAGAAAGAAAGAGCAGCTACAGCTTTAGACTGTCTTTGAACTGGAGGAGTGTTGGAAGAACAGGAAGCAGGGGACGGAATACAGTCCGGATCAGATATGAGTGAAGATCAAGTGTTTTTAAAAAGGAAGGGCGCCTGGCGAGGACAAGCTGATCTACTGATGGCTGGAAAAAGACATAAAAGTACTGGAGAAGTTTAGTGGAGAATGAAGGGGATAATGGGGCTTTGACTGTTGGAGACGAGAGGAGAGAAGAGAAGACGGGACCAGACAAAAGAGGACAGGAGGAGAGACAGCATGTGAGGGGAGAAGAAAAAGGAGATGACAGGAAAGAATAGGAGAGGAGATAAAAAGGAGAGAAGAAGAGAGGAAATGAGGCAAAAGGAGACAATAGAAGAAATGAGACGAAAAGAAGATTTGAAGAAAGGTGGAGATGAGAAAAGAATAATTGAGACTAAATGAGATTTGAAGAGAGGGGAGGAGCTGAGATGAGAGAAAACGAGACGAGAGGAAAGCAAATGAAATTAGACACGAGGAGACGATTATTTGAAGGAAGGAGATGGACACAAAATGAGACTTGAGGAGTGGAGACAAGAGGAGAGAGATGAGACACGAGAAGAGAAAATAAAATGAGACATGAGCAGAGTACAGGAGATTAGTGCAAAGGAGATAAGACAAGACATGCTAGAAGGAGACATAAGCGAGGTGTTTAGAAGGGGTACGGGATCAGCTCTGATTTTGAGGCGTATGAATGAGAATGAGTGGAGGCCTAACGCCGTCTCAGACGTGTGTGTGTGTGTGTGTCTGGGTACGCTCTGCGTCTCTGTCCCCGAGTAAGGAAGGCAGATGGGGACTGGTGAGCTTCAGTCGGAGTGAAGTCAGAAGTCACCTTGCCTGTCCTGGTTGTGTGTGAGAGAGCAGCCTGGTAGACTCGGAAGACCTGGCCTGATTTCATCCTCCTGTCACGGGCCGTAGTCACACAGCCCAGCCGGAGGCCCAGCAGGGGGCCTCCACACACACACACACACACACCTGTGCACCCGTTAATGCTGCTCACCTGCATTGTCTTTAATGAGCCTGCTTTAATGACGCTCATTTAATAAAAGCTACTTGCTGTCAGATTCTCCACCCTGACTGAGCATGCCCTGCAGTCCAGAACCACAACTGCCTCTTAAATTCATCTTGTCACAAGTTTGGTAAAAAATTAATGAGCAAAGGGCGCTGACTACAGAGCAGGTACTCTACTTAAGTGACATGGCAAGACCGGGGACAAAGGTAAGTATTGAATAAAAGTAGTAAAGGACTAAACATATTCTATTACACTATCCACTTAATTGTTTCCTTGAAGTCCGCAACGTACTTTCAATATAAATTTAGCTGTCGCTGTTAAAATAGACTGTTTTTTGTTCCTGTACCTTTAAGATTTCTATATTTAAATGACTTTGGTTATGATTGTCTCATGTCTCTGGATGTGAAATGAGCGCTGGATAGGCTTTTTAGATATTGACGCGAACTGCCGAGGTAAATCTTGTCATTTTGGTATTGTGAACAATTTCCCCCCCCCGGTTTCACAGACATGGCTTAAGCTAGTCCCAGACTAAAATGCATGTTTGAGCTGTTTTAACTGAAAGAAACTTGCACTGACATATCTTAAAATATGTCAGTGCCATTATTTTGTCTTAAGACACACAAACAAGGCATGTTTATAAAAGCTACTCAAATGTCCTAACTGAATGAATCCTGGCTTAATCGAAGCCCTGCCGAAGGCCTACAATTATATTGAATTTTTAATTAAGCGAAAATTGTGTCAAATTATAAAAAAAATAAAATGAATTATGGTTATTTAGGATACCTATGAAATTAGGCTTTTTAGTCATTTAATTTAGACATTTTATAAAATCCTATTTATTTTGACAAAAATGTTTAAAATATTTCAAAATATAATTTCCATTTAGGAATGTTATTAAACACAAAACATCATTTGAGATGGAAATGACACTGGTGGAAATGACTTGCATAATAATAATATATAAATCACAGATGCATCCTGTGATGCATGTACTGTATCACATTTGTGGACATTGTTAAAAAGTTTTCCATTAAATGTTCCTCTTTTAATCTACTTGTTGCAATCAGGCTTGTATTCTCAAACCATAACTGAAAAACACTGTCTGTCAGGTTGCACGTTCGCTTTACACGCTGCTCTGTTTGGTATTTTGCATGCATTCGATGTTCTGTATCTGTGGAGACTGTGTTCTCCCTCTGGTGTCTGCTGTCCTGGACATGGACTCACCGTCACGTGACATGCCCACGGCCAGACACTTCTGCAGCCTGCAGTGCTGGCAGCGGTTCCGGCTGGTGCGGTCAATCAGGCAGTTCTTCTGACGCGGGCATGAGTACGCAGCATTGCTCTGCTGACTCCTCCTGAAGAAACCCTACAGGCAACAGAGACAGACAGAGAGAGGGTTGGTTAACCCAAGCAGGGCTCAACAGTAAGAATTTTTAAGATGTCTCATCACACACACAAAAAAAAAAATATATATATATATATATACACACATTTTAGTTTTAGAATGCATTTTCATACACTGTAATAGAAAAGATTCTGCCTTAAATTTTTTAAGTACAAACCCTCTGGATGTTTAAGTCATTTAATTAATTTCAGTTAAAATGGGCCGCCTTTGAGTTGAGTTTAAGCAATGTTAATTGTAAAGTAATGTTAAACTATTTTTTTACAGACAGCATGTCAAACAGAAATGGTAAGAAAGGAGAGAAGGTCAGAAAGGCACATAAATGAGACAGAAAGGATGTCTGCCAAGGAAAGGGCAAAAAATACAATTCGTGGGTATAGACGAGAGGATGAAAGGAGCATTAGGTGGATATAGGGAGATAAATTGATTGAAATTTATGTTTTAATGTAATTTAAATGTATGTTTTAATGACATTTAAATTCAATGTTACACTATAAAACTTAAAATAATTAATCGTTTTTTTATCAGAAATGTCAATTTTTGCTGACGAGCCGGCCCATTTTACCTGAACACTGCTCATCTAAACAAATGTGGAAAAGCTATGTTTCGAAACCTGAAGGGCCTGAACAATTATATTTTATTACATCAATTCAACACACAAATATTTTAAAAAGTCCTTATTAATCAGGTTTTTAGTTAGTGTCCCAAGCAATTAACCAAAAAGTGGCAAATTGTATCAGGCAAATGATACCTGATATCACCCTACATAAATTACTAACTTAAAAAAATGAGTGGAATCTTGTATAACTTATACAATGTTTTTTTTTTTTTTTATTACTTAAATTTGATGAGTTAAAGCAATGTAAAAACATATGTTGTCATAACTAATTGATCATATATTTTTTTACATGTATGTGCAAAAAACATTTTAAAATTGTAAAACTTTTTTTTTCATTTTTTATTAACAGCTGCAAATTATACATCATCGTCTGCACACTTCTAAATATGACTTATATTTATATAATTATTATACCATAACATTTTTATATCATATTATTTACTAAGAAAAACATTTTAATTGATGCCTTTCAGCTGAATTGACCTCAAACTGGCGACAGACATGCATCTATACCTTACAAGCGCATTATATCCCACATGAAGTGCTCATAAAACATTTCAGTGGCAAATGCTGAACAGATGGTGGCAGCTTTACAAACACTTGCCTCTATCATATAGACATGTTTCTCTTTAGTCAAGATACATCCGAGCGACACATACTTCGGTGCGGTAACTATAAAAAAAGCAGTTTGGAACGAGTATTTTTCCTCATTAACAATTGGCACGGCTAGTTCAGAGGCGGCTGAGAAAGGTAGTAAATAATGGCGAGTTTGCGCGAGGTTATTAATGTTGAATAACAGAGCCCGGACCCAGTGGTTGGCTCAAGGGGGGGGGGGGGGGGGAGTAGGCGCCCACGTTGAGTTTATTTCTCATCCTTTTGACTTAATGAATTGATTCCAGCTCGTCATTAACACACCCCACTCCACAGCTCCATACACATATGTCTTAATTAGTTGCTCATTGGCTGTTTAATTACTAGAAAACAGCTGACAGCTGCCAAGTTGCTTTCTAATGGCAGCCATTATGAAAGCGGGGTAGGACTGCCGGTGACAAGCAGCGCTCCTTAATAATGCTATGATTTATGGGCCGGAGCGTTGTGCTCGCACATATCATTAAATGTCTCTGTGCCTCGAGTAATTAGTAATCATTAAAGATACATTTCAGCAGTTTATTCTTCAGGCCTGCGCGTTCCTGCCGCCGAGTGAGTGACGGAGGGAGATGCTGAGCCGAGAGTCTGTCTATTGTGCGGGAAAACAAAAAAAACGAGGCGTTCAAGAGCCGCGTCCGCACGTTCGTTTTTTCTGCAGACTCCTGCTCGCGGAATGCTAACGAGTCGCTCCGGTGACAGGCGGAAAACAGGAGTACACAATAAGCACAAAATTCCTCTTTGCTGAGTGGACGGCGTGTTTGAAAAATGCACAAAAAGAGGAGCTTCGGTGGGAAAGAATGTGTGTGTGTGGGGGGGGACGTGGTTGGAAAACTGCTAACGACGTGCTGTGATCCAAGCGCTTCCCGTTTGACGGTTTTATAAAAAAAAAAGTCAAGTGCAGCAAAGATGGTAAAGAAAAGCAAGACAAAGGGATTATATTGTTGTCGTATTGTAATTGTGACGTTTTTAGCAACATTTCAAACTGACTACGCGAGTTATTAAGACTCAGGCGTGTGAAGAATTGTGAAGTCCTGTAAGCACAATAGTAGTCGTTTCTTCTTTTAGACAGACAATAATCCGAAAGAAACTTCTGTTATTTTCCAGAATGTCTCATTTGTTGGCTTTTCCCGCTTTTTCTTTGTCACGCGCGCGGGCGCTTACCCGCTGACAGGGTTGTTTAGCTTCTTACCTTGCAGCCCTCGCACGTTATCACGCCATAATGGATGCCTGATGATTTGTCTCCACAGATCTTGCAGGGAATTATTTCGATTTGAGCTGCGGAGAAAGAAAAGAGAGAAGATACTGTCAGGATTTTTCACTGTCACCAGTCACCACGCAACACCTCCTCCACGGCTGCATGTTGCGACATGAAACGGCGCCGAGCTTCAAAAGCATCACGTCGATGCCACCCTCGGCTGCTGCGTATTTGGAGGAGGCCATTCTGACTTTAAACAGAAAACCCTACAAAAAGCACGGCAAACGTGATGTCAACTCGTGACTTGGAAACAAATGGAATCGTAATAAATCACCACCATTTCCCTGCAGAGCCTTTTGGGCAGCAATATCGGGAGAAACCCAACTCTTTACCACATGACTGGACCTTTTCCGCCACTGGAATATTGGTACTAAGCTGCCTGTTCAATTTAAAAACAGCCGAGAAGTTTCACCACCACTGAGACGGAGTTCAGTCCAAGAGGCCTAGCCTTGATACAAAAAAAAATGTGATGTATTTGGGGAAAAATCTCAGAGCTATAAGGTTTAGAGTTGAGAGAAGCTTTTTTTTTCCTCCACTACATTTAAAGAGATCACCCAAACTTAAAAAAATGTTCATCATTTACTCACCCTCTTGTCAATCAAAACCCATACAACTAATTTTCTCATGGAACAAAAAAAGAGATATTTAGCAGAATGTTGACGTTGCTCTTTTCCATTCAATCAAAGCGCATGGTGACCAAAGTCAAGCTCCCTAAAAGTATCTGAGGCCCTTTTTACACCTGATATTAAGAAGCGTTTTGGTCGATCGGATCACAAGTAGACGAGGGAGACACATTTCTGGTGTTGTCTCTTTTGTCCGATTTCGACCAACTCTGCACTGATTACTTTGAGGGGAGGGTCTATGGGCAAGTAAATATGTGGTTTTTTTTTCAGATTTTTCGATCTAATGGACGAAATGAGCTCATGCAATTTACATATTCACGCACCCGGAGATGACGGAAAAACATACGGAGAGCAGAAGCTTGTGAGTGTGTGTTAGAAATCAGGAATGGTGAGAGAACATTGAGCTTGGTATGTTTTTTGTCTTCAAATCAAACTTACTGTAGGTCTTCAGTCGACAGAGTTTAAATCCCGTCTGGCTAGCGCGCTTGGCGCTTCCCATAATGTTTCCGCATTAGGTCAGTCGGCGGAGAGTAGGTGGTCTTTTGTGGCTTTTTGAACACGCAAGCAATCCAGTCAAATGCGTTTTCGACAACCTCTGGAAGTGGTCGAAAGGGGAACAGGCTCGAAACGTTTTAGACCCAATTTACACCTGTATTTAGCGTCATGCTCTTGTGATCTGATCGACCAAAATGTATCTTAATACCAGGTGTAAACAGGGCCTAAAAAGGTAGTATATGTGCCATCTTCTGAAATATGAGAGATATTTGTTATATCATATTTAAGATTATGTTTATGCATTTAACAGATGCTTTTATCCAAAGTGACGTACAGCATAAGTCATTTATTGAAACTGTCATTAATGTAATTCAAATATGCGCATATTGAAACTTGGCAGTCATGATTGGTTTGGAGACACAAGAACCGAATGTTTGGCATTATTGTCAAACATAGCGTGACATGGTTGAATATATACATGAATGTTAATGAGGTCTGAGAGCTGCAGAGTAAATTTCAAACGATTCCTCAAACTGATACATCCTATAACTTCAGAAGTGTTGGAGTATTGTGCATTAGTTGTACATGCTTTTTAGGAGCTCGACAGACCCTAGTCCCCATTCACTTTCATTCTATGGAAATGAGCAGCTTGAACATTCATCCAAACATCTCCCTTTGTTTTCCATGACAAACAGAAAGGGAATAAAAGATGACAAAACTTCAATTCATGAGTGAACAATTCCTTCACAGACGTACACTTGTGAACTCGATATTGATTCCGACGGATAAAACCTGGCACAAGTTGCTTAAAAAAGAGTCCGGCATCTCAAAGTAAAGGCCACGGCAATGTAATCACATCAAAGGACCCGAACCAAACCTCTGGCCATTGCAAAATAGACCTTACCACGCAAGAGCTTCACTCTATATTTAGCCGGATTACAGCTGAACAGTCACTGTTTAATGTAGCCTAAGCATTTTATTTCTACTTGACAGAAATTGCTCCCTCTAGTTCTCTTAGATCCCGAGCCAAAGTTCCCCGCAGCTACTTGCCTACCTCCAGCCAAAATACTGCGGCTCGATAATATTTTAGTGAACCTTATAAATCCAATCATACGGAATTAATTTGCACGCATCAAATTGCCACCGCTGAGTGATGCATCCGCGGCCGCCCATTTTATCATCAGCCTTCGAGCTCCCGTTGTGTCATCTGGATAATGTCAACGTCCCCACAGCACGGCCAAGGGTCTCTCTCTCTCTCTCTCGTTCTCTTTCAGCTCTGCGCTGCTGATCCACTAACCCGGTACGCTCACAGCCGGTACACCGTCCGTCCGGTCAACATGCCTGTAAACGGCACACAGTTTTTCGCTGATATAAACCGTTGTTCTCCTCAGGAGAGCTTCTTGGGAATTGGCAGATCTGCTAATTCAATATCCAACGAGTTTTTTTTATCATTAATTTATGATTAGGAAACCAAAATCATTTCTTTTTTTTCTTGCATTTTGAAAAAAGAAGGGGGGGAAAAAATCACGGGCAGTGCACTGTTGTTTGTTTTTGTGTTCTCTCGGCATGAGCATTAGCGCGCCAGTGTGTTCCTACTCCTTTAGCATTTTCAGCCTCATTACTTACATAATTTGTTCTGACATGCACTCACAACAACTGAAGCATGCTGTAATTAAGGCTGGCTGTGGTTGAGGTCCAGGAGAGAGGTTGTAGTACCCGGCCCCTGCCAGTAGGTGGCAGTCCAGGGCTGTTGAGTACAGTCTTTCCCAGGCTCTAATCCCAGCTTCCACGTTCTGCCCTACAGGCTGAAGCGGCTTCACACTGCTGGCATCACAGACTACCAGGCTGCAGGTTCGAGCCTGCGGGGGCCAAGCTGCCGCACTCCTATCTGACTCGCTCCCTAGGCGCTGCTCAGAGGGCCCTTCGGTTTAGCCGGAAAGAAGCAGGTACACTTGCTGACGAAGCTCGTGCCACATCAGTCGAAGGCGCAGGAAGTGAAGAGGGCATAACTGGGCACTCGGGTTTGGGTCCCGCCTGGCGCAAATTCTCGCTCTACTCTCCCTCTCGCCAGGCCTCCACATGAAACACTCACAAAGCTCTTTGTCTCCCGCCTGGCTCACGCTGCGGGGTTGCAGTGCTGGATCGGAGCTTCCTTTGTCTACGGAGAGCGCTAAACCGAAATTGTTCTGCTGGAAAGAAAAAATCCTCACAGCAAGATTAGGACGGGGAGTAATTCATCCAGCTCCAGTGCAAACACACTCGCCTAATAACACACACTGTGAGATATTCAGTTGCTCGAACAGTTCCACGTTGTGGAACACAGGGTGGTATTTGCCAGCACTGGATAACTGAATAACTTTTAGGGAAAAAATACTATGGTATAACTGTATTTTTTGAATGATTTTACCATGTAAATGCCACAGATTTCACATGTAAATACATTGTTAACCATTTAGAAAGCATACTGTGACTGTGGTGTTGTTATTATTTAAAAATCACAGTATGCTTCATAAAGTTCACAATGCATTTGCTAATAATAATAATATCAATAATAATACAATATAAAATCGTTATGCTTTCTAAAGAGTTATAATATATTATAATTAATCATAATAAATGTCATTATTAGACCATTTTCTCATATAAATGCATTGTTAGCCCTTTTAGAAAGCATACCATCTTAATAATAATACCAATAATAATAATTATAACAATAATTAAAATCACAATATGCTTTTTAAAGTTCATATAAAAAAATATATAATATTATTTTTAGAAAGCAAAATGTCATTTAAATTATTATTATTATAATTATTATATATTATTATATTATAACTATTTAGACAGCATATTGTGGTTAACTTATTATTATTATATAATTAATAATTATTATTATTAGACAATTCTCATACAAATACATTGCTAATACTTTAGAAAGCATACTGTGACTTAATAATAATTAATAAATAATTAAAAATCACAGTATGCTTTCTAGAGAGTTCGTAATATACAGTATTTACATGCAAAAAATGACATTTATCACAATAGTTGTTGTTTTTATTATTAGATAATTTTCTCATATAAACACATCAACCGTTTAGAAAGCATACTATGACTAAAAATAATAATAATTATTATTATTAATCACAGTGTGCTTTATAAAGAGTTTATAATAATCATAATAATCATAATTTCAAAAAAAAAAAAAAAACATAGGTCATAAAGCCAGATGTTTATGAACACCGCAGACAACTGAAGAATATGACTGATACAGCATATCAGACAGTGTTCATGCCATACACCGCGGCTGGTCGAAAAGGTCTCAGCCTACGGGCAACGTCAAACATACCACAGACACGCAACACACACACACACACAGAGTTACGCAAATGAAAACGCACAGTAAAAGGGCACAGGGCCGTGGTAACGTTAAAGATCAAACCTTTGCACTAAATGACTCCCATTGCGCCTACATTGAAATGTGTGGCAGCAAAGAGCAAATCTGATGCAGCTTGTTAGTTGGGTCTGCTCTGTTGTGACTTCCTGGAGCCCACTTCAAGGTCACTGAGTCAGAGCTGACAGCGAGACAGAGCCCTGAGGAGGAGTGACGTGTCACTTCGCTGTCCCCTCTCTCAGCTAATGCTATCTTTCTCACCGTCTATCGCCCTCCATCCCTCTCTCTCATTCCACGTCCCAATCGCAATCAGGCCCCGTCTCTGCCATGCCCTTTAAAGCCCTCAAATCAGACCTCATGGGAGACAAGCCCCTGCTCTTGCTAACAGAAGCCCCTCAGTTTCTGCTAACATCAAACACACTTGTCACTTGCTCACCAAATGGCCATTTTAATTGGTACGGCACATAGTTCATGCACATAAATTCAGACTGAGGCCATATTTCATAGC